GGCACATAACAAAGCCTCAGTGGCTTTTCCAACAACCAACGATTCGCAGTAGGCAATGAGCTCCGCCTCTGCCGTTGAATGAGCCACAAATGGCTGGGCACCACATTGCCAAGCAATTGCCACACCTGCATAGAACACCACCAAACCTTGGATACTTCGGTGATCAGCATTGGCCCCATAGGAGATGTCAGAGAAAACTTCCAACATTTTCGGGTGTCTTTTCGCCTTCAATTGATTGCGATGACCCCAATCTCCCCCAGGAACAGTGCGTGGATAGTGAGTTCCACCTGGGTTCCCTTTGATGTACTTCAGCAGAACGTACCCAATCTCAATGGCTTTTGCCGGATTTCGTGTCACAAGCCGGCTCATTGCTGAAACGCCAAAGGCCAAATCAGGTCTGGTACGGGTCGAAACCCAAAGTAGAGCTCCAGTGAGCATTTGGGCCGTGCGCACATCATTGGGGTTGATGTCATTCACAACCTCCTCATCAGATTCTGTGACCTTGAAGGCAGGGAAGGCAAGTGATTCAGTGATGTTCCAACGCGTCACCAGCTCTTGCTCATACATACGGTGTGACACATGAAAACCGTCACCTCCCCCATCAGCCAAAATTTCAAAGCCACAGTAGCGCAGAGACTTTTCAGATGCCCACTCAACTTCTGAGATCGCCCACGTCTTTTCGATGGAGCCAATCGCAGCTTGAGCAACTTCTCTGTCCGCTGCAATCATGATGTCATCCACATAGACCGACATCAAACCAACCCAATGTTCATCACCAGTTTGGCTGTTGACTTCAATCAATCGCCAGAGATTTTCATCTTTGGAGTGGACAAACTGTCCCTTCATTTCAGTGCCGCCGACAGTTCGTGTCCAGCGCAAACTCGGTACGACCTCATCACGATGGACGCACCAATCTCTTGGCGATGAGACCAGCCCGTAAAGAGCTTTCTCAATCAACCATATATCGTCGGGTCCAGCAAGTCCAAGGCGCTTGAAGATGGCTGGGACCTCCATGGCGGTGATCTTGGTAGCATCCCTTTTGGGAGCGTTCAAAAATGCTACCCTTATATCTGTTCCGGCCAAGCACCATTCTTTGAGTGCCGCCGTTCGGATCATCGCCCGGATTTGGCATCCGTCGGCACCTCCAGCATAGCGCTCTTCTGTGCTGACCTCTTGGTAGTTACCACATACCACTGCCCTTGACCTGTATGCACCACTGTTGGCCTTCCGGGTGTGCACCATTTTGCCGGGCAAAAGTTCAATGGGAAGACCTCTTTTCTGTGCCAAGCTCTGCAACTGAGATCGCGGCATTTGTTGAACCGCTTTCTTTTGGTTGACCAGTTGTTCAAACTCTGCACGCACAGAAGCTTCCCAGTCTTGTAGATTCTCCCATACTTCCTTGTTGGAGATCGTTTTCGTCACCAGGAATTCCTTGTTCATGGCCATGTCATTCACCATAGACTGGTGATCTTTGATTTGGTGGAGCTCCTCTTCAACCGCTGCCTTTCTCACCAAAACTTCAGTGACAATGGGAAGACACCATGCTTGTTCTTCTGCCGTGCCATCGATCTGCATCATCTCCTCCTCCACAAGCTGGGACAAGTTGTGCTGCATTTGACGCAAGAAACATTCTTGATTCTGGAATGGGGTCACTGGGCTTGAGCCACCGCACCAGTTGTTAGGCACCCCCTCCTCCTCCCCACAACTATCCTCCTCCAAAACTGCCTGTGGTGAAGATCTTGTTGTTTCAAGCGTCCAGCTGCTGTCATCTGTGTCTTTGTCCCATGAAGGAGTATTGACACGGCGAAGATTTTCAAACTCCCAGATGTTGTGATCAGCTTCCCAAATGTTGTTGTCCTCCCCCTCGATTGGAGCTGTCGACAATCGATTCAGCATAGCAGGAGCTGTCTTTTGTCGGAGGCGTCGAGAGGGACAGATGCCAAGGCCAGCAGGATGAGAAACTTCATCACGTTCTGGCAAATAGATTTCGGCCTGGTCGACCGGGTTTGGTTGCGGAGCATGAACTGCAAGTGCTGGTTGCCCTGCTTGAGCATCACGTGGGGCCCCATTGTCCACGGCCGCATAGTCAGGGGTGATGACATCGTCAGTGAAGAAGTACCTGCCAGATTCAATGGCCTGGACAAAATAGTTTGTCGTTGTCAAAGTGCTGCAGGCATCTGGACCTAGCACCACAACTTCTTCTCGGACATCTCGCCATGCCTCATATTGATGATGCCACCATTTTCGAAGTGCATAGGCACGCGTCCCAAACTTGAGCAGGTCCCCCACAGGATAGCCAAGCAATCGTAGTTGAGCTCGAAAACGTCTCTCGCCCACATGCATTGCAATCAGCGGCCACCAGTTGATGTTGTGGCCTCCAGAGGAGAGGACGGTTCGTACTGCCCGCTTCACCATGCCAATTTCAGCTTCGCAGCGCCCGTTGGCTTTGTAGTTGTCTCCACTGGTCATAGTGAGAACTATGTCACGATGTTGGGCCCAGCGTCGCAATGGCAAGGCTGTAAATTCTCTTGCCCTGTCCGTGTGCAAACGGACTACCGGTAGGCCAAGCTGCCGTAACCGGCTGTACATCCGAGCCAGGGCCGGGAGTACATGTTGTGCAGTGCGACCTTCCACCACCTCCACCAGGGTCACATTCCGCACTGCCACATCTTGAGATTGTTCCACCGATTTGTTCCACACCTCCAAGCTGCCGATGGCCGACTGTTGTGCCAGATGTCCTCCATCTTCTCCATCACCCTGGGCCTCGTCGATGTCTTGTTCATCAAGCGGATCTCCTTCTTCAGCTGATTCATTCTCTACCGTGAACTCTTCCAAGTCTGGTAATGGTTGATCTTGAGGTTCCATGCCATCGATCTCAACCAACGGTTTGCCGCTCTTGGTCACTGGGAAAGTGTAAACCCCGACCATCAAGTAGCGACATTGCTTTCGCTGTTGATTGATACCAGAACTCAGCCGCCCACTCAGGTCAACTGCTAAGGTGAAAGATTCAGGGTGTTGGATTCGCCTGTGAGGACGACCCCTGGCCTGTGTGCGGACACAGTGTTGACAATCTCGACGGGCAGGCATGTGGTCATGCAGATAATGCAATTTCCACGACTCGAGAGCTGCCGAACTCAGGGTCCTGAGCGCTGGTGGTCGTTGTACATGAAGCTCACGCTCAAGCCACTGAACCCGCTGGCTCACAGTCATGGCTATCGCATCTTTCAAACCTGGAGCCCATGCAGACCACGAACTTGATGTTTCAAATCTTTGTCCCATTGGAAGAGACCGAAATTGATTGGTGAGCTCAGCTTCATTTGGTGGGGCACCTCGAACATTGTCCAACTGCTGCATTTCAGTGACATTCGTTGCAAGACAAGTTGGTTTTCTCTTTGGATGTCCCATTGGAAACTGGTCGAAGTGGTACTGCTGCAAGTTGAAGGCCCATGCCAGTTGTTGCCACTCCCTGGTCCTGAAGATGGAGAAGTATTTGTGTTGTTCCACATCTTGTTGACTTCGATATCGGGCAGGATCTTCCGGCTGCTCCATGAAAAACTGAGTAACTGGCATATCATCAGGCCTGAACTCCTCGGCCATGATCAGCAGCGACCAGAATCGGAACATCAAAGTTGAGTCGTTGAGGACAAGCTCAGTGTCAGCAGGTGACAAGCTAGGAAGTCCATAGGGATATTCATCCGTTCGTAGAACTCCTGGGCCATCATCACCTTGGTACCTCAAAGCCGTCAAAGTTCGGCATGGTGGACCTCCCAAAATGGATCTCACTCTTCCACTGGCGCACAAAGCCACCAAATATGCATAGACGTTCTTGTCCAAAAGGTTGGCCGGCGTGGAGCATGTGGTGTCAACGCACAAAACTTCTGTTGTTTCTGATGCGCATCTTCTGTCCCAGTAAGTCTGATCTGGGCCTGAGAACAAGTGGATCACCACGTGCTTTGCCTTCTTCAACCTCCGGCGCTTGTGTCTGTTCCAAGGCAACCTGGACTGGAAGCTTTCAGCCTTGACCATCTCGAGATAGGGCACCACCCGCATCATCACCTCATCCGGCAAGTCGGGAAAGTGCTGTCGCAACTTCAGGGTCAGTGCCATCTCCAAATCCAGTTGTGATTGATCCACATGGCTTTCATCATTCATCAAAGTTCGAACCATGGCCAGCTTTCGTTGCTGATGAACTTGATGTGCTTCCAGCCATTGTAGAATCATCTGGCCATCTGCCAGAGAAATCATCGGGCAACCATGAATCACCTGGACATCGATCTGGCGTCCTTCATCATCTCGCAGTTGACATTGATTGCCAGACCAAGTCATCGTGAAGTCCAAGTCAGTGAGTCCGCCCATAGGGACAATCCACGTCGCAGCTTCTTCAGGATGTCCAAGTAAGATCTTGGTGCCAGGTTTCAGTCGAAACGCTTCTGTAGAACCATTTGCAAGCTGCACCGTGGTTCTAGTTGACTTCAGCCACTCATCATGATCTCTTGCAGGGCGAAGACCATGTGTAGCTCCTGAATCAATGAGCACCCTGTTGGCTTCAGTGTGGTCTAAACCTCCAATCTGCATCACTTTCAGCTGTGGTGTTGAAGGTGGTATTCTCAAAGTTTTGAGGAGCTGCGTGGCTTCATGAAGCAGTTCAGCCGTCTTTTCATTCTTTGCAGCTTGTTCACCTCCTGTGCCCCCATCTCCCAATCCTTTCACCATTTCTGCAGGTTCTGCTCCAGAGTTGCCTGTCTTCAACTCCCCCGGAGACGCAGCAGTGGATGTTGTCAACTCGTTGATTTTGGGATTTGGAGTCATTGTAGAGGTCGTTGATGCCCCAGGAGTTGCAGCACCAGTCGTCTTGTTGTTGACATTGGTTGTTGCGCTGCTTCCTCCCCCCGAACCTTTTGGTTCGTCCAGCCGTTTGCCTCCACCACCTTTGACTTTACAGTCCTGCTTTCTACAGGGGTTTGACAAAGTCATGCCTAAGTCACTCCTTTCGCTTTCCCCGCTCGTGAACGCAACATCAAGAAGTCATGCCTAAGTCATGCCTTTGGGCCTTCCCCCATTCAGAACGCAAGCGTCAAAATAACCCTTTCCAAATCAGAACCTTTCACTTTCACCCTTTTTTCTCTTCCCTGTGCTTGCGATTCACTGTTTCTTCTTTGCCCACTTTCTTCCCCAAACAGGTTTATCTGTATGGGGTTCTCAATAAGAATTCTGTAAATAGATACTGGGTAGCTATGGCCCTCTCACACAGAAAGAGGCCAATGCAGTTTGTAAGTTCTTACTCCTTTGAAAAGGTTGCAGTCCTGGGTCGCATTATTTTGCTTCTGCCTCCGGGCTTGCATTCCTGGCGGGATCCTACCGCACATTGGTCCTATCAACCCGCCAAAGTTTAAACACAACATTCCAGACAGAGGTTCCCGAGATCCTACCTTACTGTGGTCCTATTAACTCTGCTGAAGTTCAAACACAACTGTACAGTAAGAGGTTCACACCCAAAATCCACTCCAGTCCCCACAACAGACAAAACCAAACTTTAATTGCCATGCATCAGCTCACTCTTCCATTAAACCCTGCAGAACCGCAATCGAGTCCGCACTAACTTTTCTTCCTACGGTGTGGTGGAAAAACACACTGCACCCAAGAAATTCTCAAAATCCATGCAGCATGAAACAACAACCGCCTACCAGGGTCAAACGTCTTCTATCAGCCACGCCGCTGACAACTTAAATCCAGGGCGGGCGGGTGGGTGCTCAAGAAACACTGAACATCACCAACGCCGCGGCCCTCCGCGCAACCAATCCGTTACGCTAAACGCGCAACCAAACCGTTACGCCCAAACCGCTAGTGGCCAGCTAGCAATCTTGTCATGAATCCTCATGACAGGTCCAAACATTCATGTTAATCTCACATGACAAGCAAGAGACTCACATCTCTAAATCAAAACTCATGTGTCCACATGACAGGCGATAAACTTCATGCAAACCCACATGAACAGCCAGAGATCCTATCTCTAATGTAGTCCCGTGTGTCCACACGCGAAGCACATCATGGAAACTCATGACTCACCCAGAGATCAAGTCACAACCAATCAAGTGGACCAAGTTCACATAAAAGTAAGGCATCCAGAAACATGATGAACATTCGAACCCGGGTCGTCCAGTTATTTTGCCCAAAGTAAAGTTAGCACCACAACGAAGACAACTACACCTACTGCAACATTCAACGATAGGGTGCTATCGAATCCCACTACTCGCCCCTGCGTGTCGACCCGCATGCTCGACCGACTACGGTCTGGTTGCTCTCGGCCGCCTGGGCATACAATGTTATACACTTGTCTCCCACTTGTCTCCACTGGTGTCCCACTTGTCTCCTACTCACCTGCATGTCGCATGATGTGCCTGATGTGCCTCAACAGCACCCACCACTTGGGTTCCTTCCTGACTTCCTTCCTTCCTTCCTTCCTTCCTTGCTTCCTTGCTTCCTTGCTTCCTTGCTTCCTTGCTTCCTTGCTTCCTTGCTTCCTTCCTTCTTTCCTTCCTTTCTTCAATGAAATGCATTGGCCAAGGCGGCTTTGGAGCACCAATGTGCAGGCCAACCTGAGGGCTGGCGGTGGTACCAACTTATAATATACATATTATTGTTATTCCCCACCTGCCAGGTGAGGGTTGTTAGATTTTATCACAGTTGTTCTCCTCCTCCGCCTCCTCCTCCTCCTCATCCTCCACCTCCTTCTCCTCCTCCTCCTTCTCCTCCAGCTTCTCCTCCACCACCTTTGCATCCACTTCCATGTCCACTTCCGCCTTGCCAACTCTTCGCCAACTTCCGCATGCAGTGGGCACTGCTGGACCTCAACTGCCGTCCGCCTTGCCAACTCTTCGCCAACTTCCGCATGCAGTGGGCACCGCTGGACCTCAACCTGGGACCTTCCGAGCTCAGTGAGCCCCCCCTCGGACCTCAGCCTGGGACCTTCCGAGCTCAGTGAGCACCACTGGACCTCAACGGCCAGATAGAATGCCAGAAGATATGCCAGATAGAACGCCAGATAGAATGTCAGATAGAATGCCAGAAGATATGACAGATAAAATGCCAGAAGATATGCCAGATAGAATGAGTTCTGATATGCCAGATAGAATGCCACAAGGTATGCCAGATAAAGTGCCAGAATGTTTGCCAGATAGAATGCCAGAAGATTTGCCAGATAGAATGCCAGATAGGATGTCAGAAGGTATGCCAGAAGATATGCCAGATAGAATGCCACAAGGTATGCCAGATAAAGTGCCGGAATGTTTGCCAGGTAGAATGCCAGAAGATATGCCAGATAGAATGCCAGATCGAATGCCAAAAGATATGTCAGATAGAATGCCAGAAGATTTGCCAGTAACAAAACGTGTAAATGTCATGGTGGGGATCACTCGAAGTAAAGTAATTGTTTTTTTCACCCCTCTCCCACCCAGCAGCACTGGACAGGCAGAGACAAGAAACAACGACCAAGCAAAGAGAGAGACCAACTGCAGCAAACATCCACCAGCAGCACCTGCCCAAAGAAGAGAGCAAGAGGAAGGCAAGAGCACCAACCAAAGATACCAAAGAGCAACCAAAGAAGGGCAGGGAAGGGGAAAGGACCAGGAAATCTAAGCCTGGAAAAACGAGATCAAAAACGAGATCAAAACGAGATGCAAACGAGATCCGAGCCCTGGCAGCAGCAAACTCCCGGAAAGTAAAATCGGAAGGTTGAATCACATGAAGGGGAAGCCTACAGGCAAAATATTGCGCACATTGGGGCATCGCGCATTGACGCAGCACAAGCAGGCAGAACCCAGCAGCAGCAGGCAGAACCTAGAAGCACAAGGCAGAACCCAGCAGCACAAGGCAGAACCCAGAAGCACAAGGCAGAACCCAGCAGCACAAGGCAGAACCCAGAAGCACAAGGCAGAACCCAGCAGCACAAGGCAGAACCCAGCAGCACAAGGCAGAACCCAGCAGGACAAGGCAGAACCCAGCAGCACAAGGCAGAACCCAGCAGCACAAGGCAGAACCCAGCAGCAGCAGCAGCAGCAGCAGCAGCAGGCAGAACCTAGGAGCACAGGCAGACGCTAGGTATGCAGGGTGTCAGTATCAGGAACCTAGGAAAGCAGTTCATGCAGAACCGGTAAAGTAGGGGCAGGCAGGCGAGAACCTAGAGCATCAAGGCAGAACCTAGGGAGCAGGGCTACACAAAACCTAGGACAATCAGGCATAACCAGGAGCAGGCAATGCAGTCCCGACAGAATCACAAGGGCAGGAATCAAGCACAAGCAGGCATGGACCGCCGCCACAAGTCTGTCTGGGCATAAGCCAGCGGAGCAACGTGGTGCAGGAGAAGCCCCCTACCCAGCAGCAGCAGGCAGCAGTAGGCAGCAGCAGGCATCAGCAGGCAGAACACAGCAACAGCAGGCAGAACCCAGCAGCAGCACGCAGAACCCAGCGCAAGCGGGCAGAACCGAGCACAAGCAGGCAGATTCCAGCAGGCACAGATTCAGCAGCGGACGGAACCATACAGAACCTAAATATGATAAGTTTCAATGGTCACGCCTCTCACCGAACTATTGACAATGGCACCACCATAAAGATTGCAATCAATACCATACAGGGTTAAGTAGAATCATGTCAACAATACACTGCCCACAGCGATGAAACAGTATTCAAATCAATAACAGCCAGTCAAATAAAGAAAAGAACTATCAAAATCTAAACGAAACACTGCGCGCACGCAGGTGTGATACGACTTCAGGTCACTTGGAATGACGTAAGCCTAGTGGTAGTAGTTCAGAAGCAATCCAGCAGCAGTTTGGCAGTAGCCAGCGGCAGCAACTGAGCAACAGCCAGCAATTGAGCAGCAGTTTAACAGTAGTTGCTAAATACAGTTGAACGTACACAAGTCACTGATAAGAAAGCAGCTGCAACCAAAAAAAGTTTCCCCCCAACTGAACGCAACAAAAACTACATATACCCAAAGCATAACTAGATACCTAAACCCAAGCTAAACGCAAGGAAAAAAAGAAAAACACCTAAAAACATGGTTGCGCTGTGATCACCAGAGTTTTCTTGCGTTTTCCAAAAAAAGGCACGACTTCCAGGGAAAGCTTCGACGCAACTAAATCTAGAGATTTCTTAAAAAAAGGAACGACTTTGTCGATTGCCTGTATGTTCTTTGGACCCACAGTTCCAGCACCTGGCGTTTTGCTAATGCCGTCCCAGCTGTGGGACCACTTGCACTGTTTGCCAGCACGGCAGCCAGCGTCGCTCTTGAACCAGCGACAAGGCACATCGGCTGTGCTGCCACCACGTCCCTTGCCCGAGGAGCTCCCTTCTGACTGAGGCTTCATAGGAGCACCTGTGTCGTTGGCTTCCATGATCTTCAGCTTCAACGGTGGGGACTCCGACAAAGATGTTGCCGAAGAGTTCAAAAGGACCAATGTTTCGGCCTCGGCCAACAAGCACTGAGAAAAAGCCCAAATGGTAGATGGTTGTGGTTGTTCATCTACCTGAAGAGCTGAACGGCTTTGGGCTAGGCGAAATGCCGCCTGACTGTTCTCTTTGGCCACATGTTGCACAGCTGGTTCAAGGGCACGAAGAAGCAGTGTGCCATCAGGCAATGTTGCCCCAACTTCCCTGGCTCTGCCGAAATGCCTCCGCCAGCTCCGCAGCGCTGCAGATAACTCAGCCATTGTGTTGGACTTCTGCAGCTGAGTCAATTCCTTGAGGATCAATGACTTTTCACCAGGTCCACCCGGTTGATAGCGCACGTACAACCGGAACAAAATTGCTGTGCTCGTCATTTGGCGATCTGTGACAAGAACTTGTTGAACATCAGCTGCAACGGCTTTCAGAAGAAGGTGAACCCCCCGCTGCTCAGTTCGGCCATAGCATCGATCCTGTAATTCATCAGGCACCGTGGGTTGGATTTGAACTCGTTGTAGAGGAGTGGCTTGTTTCCAGTCGGCGTAGTACACCTGGGCTTGACGAACTGTCAGATCCCACCAGCGGCTCGCCACACTTGACAGATCCCGCATGACTGGTCCACAAAGATGAATCCAATCTCCAAACTGCAACGGGCTAGCCAGTCCAGGTAGTTCTGGAAGTTCGGCTCTGGTGTTGCCACCTCCGCCAGTTTCCCAAGACTGAGGAATCATGCCGACTCCCCCACCATCATGGCCTCCAACTCCACAAAAGCCTCCTTGACGACCAGGAAGTAGAGATGCAGCTCCACCCACTTGGTGTAGACCATCGCCACCCCCACCATGCAAAGCCCGATCGTCGCCTAGATCCGCATGGCGTCCACCAAGCAGGTGACCATGAAAATCTCCCTGACCCATGCTCGTAGTGCAAGCCCGAGCTTGAAGAGGATCTTCACCGCTTCCGCCAAGCAAAGGACGTGGAACTTCTCCCCCACCCATGCTAGAGCGAGCCCGACCCAGTAGAGCATGATCGCCACTTCTGCCAAGCAAGTGACGTTGAACTTCGCCATCATCCATGTCCATGCGAGCCCGATCTTGTAGAGCAGGCTCACCACTTCCGCCACGCAATTGACCAGGGGCATCTCCAGGATGCAAGCGACTAATCCGTTCAGCCAGATTCGGATCAGGTCGCCCCAGGTCAGTGGGCTCTTCTGGAAAACCCTTGAACTCTGGTGGACCCGTGGCGGGATGAAAACCTTTGGACCAATACTCACATGATCTGAAGGGATTCCCATTTGTCATCTTTGCCAAAGATTGTTTCAGTGCGACTACTTCTTTTTCCAACCAGAAGGCCCTAGCCTCATGCGGTGATAGTTCTTTCGAAGGTTCCCATGTTTCATCAGGTTTCAACATCCTAGGCTTTTCTCAACCTTCTCATAACCATCCATGAACTTGTCCATGTCATCCCCATGCATGAAAGAAGCTGGAAAAGGAGGAACTGCTGGAAAAACACATGGAGTAGGTGGTACTTGCGGTTCAACATCTGGTGGTGTTCCATCAGGTACCCGGGTTCCATTCGGTGTGAAACGAGCCCCATGCGCACCACCCATCAACTCAGCTGAACTTCTAGGAGTTTTGAAACCCATCTTCCCACGATCTCCCTCATCATTCTTTCCAGAAAGTTTCCCATTCAAATCTCCCCCAACTTCCGACCATGAAGAGGCAGCAGACATGCCCTGTTGAGACTGTTGTTTCCTAAGCCTCTCGACCTCTTCCATGAGCTGTGCATTCTGAGTCCTGAGATGACTGACCACCTCAGCTTCTAGTGCCCGCTGAAGTTCATCTACAGGCTGACCAGATTCATGTCTAACCCGGCCCATGGATGTCAAACCGACATCTCCGCTACTTGGCATCATACCTTCGGACTGTTTCACCGTCCCATGTCTCTCATGCCCATCATCGCCATGATTCTGATCCAAACCCCTACCAACCGGAGAAGCAAAACAAGGCTTTCCAGACACCTGTCCTCCACTTCCACGGCCTTTGCCCACACACTGACCTGTGTATGGATCGCCATAGTGGACCGGCAGCGCATCTGACCCAGGCGACTGTTCGGGCAGAGCTTTGGGTCGACTAGCCAGCAGTGCTAACTCCTTCTTGTTTTTGTCAGAGTAAAAAGGGTTGATTGCAGAATCCCTTACAGGCGGTTCTGAGTTCGATCTCATGGCACCAGAGCTACGCAGCAACCAAAGGGGAAATGGTTGGGCTCATAACCCTCTTTACAACCGGGAATGCGTTTTCCCTCGTTTGACACAAAATGCCTGTGAAATGTTCAGATCGCAACGGGTATATATATATATATGAGTAGCGGACAAAATTGCTTGTTAAATCTAATGCCACGCAAAAATTAGGGTCGTCCCCTATCGGTTGTTATGATTTCCGTACTCCCAAGGCAAAGCAAGACTAAATTAGTATTACAACAATTTTGTCGGATACTCATATACGTAGTCATTTTTGAACCAAATAAGAATGCAAAGATTGACCAGCCAGTCGGCTAATTGCTTGAACAAAAAATGCACCTTGCAATCCGTGGCTTGTCTCGAGTTGATGCCTCAGCCACAACATTTGTGAAATGGATCTTTTGGAGCGAAGGCTCAAAGCATCAGACTGTCTTTTCAACTGTTGACATCTGTTGACAATGTTATAAGATGTTATAAGTTGTTCCTGTCCACAGGACCAGACTCCCAAACTTCCAGTGCTCTTTGGCAAGGATCGGCCTGCTTTGCAAGAACTAACAATTTGAAGATATTTATATGGAGGAACATTCAAATACTGATGGTAGCATCTAGAATTATGATAGATAGTCGTGCCTCTCCGTCTCCAAAGCCATGCTTACAGTGTCTTTCTACAATTTCCGGATATGCGCTAGTCAAGAATCAAGACATTGCCCTCAAAACGTTAGCTATATCGCAGGTTGTTCGTGGGTTAAACGGCTATAGCAAGAAATAGTGTTTATTCAATCAATCCTAATATTGTGAACCGGCTTTGATCGCTGCTAATTAGCAAGCTCAGGTATTGAATTTGAGTAGTGCAGGCAAGTAGCATGAAGCTTCAGCATGGAGAACTGCTTTGCTGCTCGAACTATGAAATGAAGCCTGTCTGTCCATGCCATCCACTTCATCAAATATCTAAAATTGGCACAAGACCCAGACTTTCCATAGAAAACCTTAGAAACCATACTGCACAGTCCACCACACCACCAAAAGCTATTCATAACAACCCAAAAAAAAAGAGATGGTGGCCAGATGCCATCAGTCGCCATCAGTCAACCTTCAAATTTCTCTTGCGCAAAGGCTTGCCTTTTTCGGTGAGTCGCCTTGGCGTTGCTCCTGAGGACACGGAGTCCAGTGGCTTGGCGCCAAGTGTTGCATGATTATACCACACATGTTTCCCGAAACGCATAGGTAACCTTCGCGTAGTGCATTGCTTGATGCGGGAACGCTGCCAACATCTGCCAACTGTCTAACAAGGTGAACATTCAGATCCAACAAGGCAAGCCATGAATCCAACAAAACCGTTTGCGAGTCCAGCAGCTTCCAGGACATCACTACCCCCATGGTGGAAAGCTGTGCTAGATCTGCAGTCTGTCCCGGTGGTTGAGTAGTCTTAGACTAGTTTGTTCCCAAAGTCCAAAGGCCCCTCACAAACACTTCACTTCCACGCAAACTATATACGACTAGCACGAAGGAAAAGGCTACGGTCCTTCGTCACACACTTTCGAAGCGGAACTGGTTTCTATCACAGCTCTGGGAATGCTCTGGAGACATTGATGAGCCCAATCCCTGAGTCCCAAATGCTCAGGTTCATCAAAAGAACTTGAAAATCGGCAATAATGACAATGACCATCATAGTAGAAGTAGTAGTAGTAGTAGGAGCAGTAGTAGTAGTAGTAGTAGTAGTAATATAATATAATATAATATAATATAATATAATATAATATAATATAATATAAGATAATATAATATAATATAATGGTGCTAAGTAGTATCACATAGTCATATATTTCATTCAGAAAGGGACGTTGTGGAGGCCCCATTTTTATGGTGTTTTGAAAAAGTCACTAAAAAAGCATTTTTGGTCACCATATCATCAAATGTTCATTGTTTTGATTATCTTTGTGATATTTCTAGTTATTTGAGTTAGGTCATGAAGATCAACAAAAAAAACGTGTGTTTCATTCTATATTTTCTTGTACTAAAAATGCTAATATACAAACTTAGAATATTACTCTCCAGTCATTTTGTCTCACACAGTTTATCAATTCCTCAAAGTGAGACCACCGGGTGTTATCGTTCCCATAGTCTTCTCCTGAAGCTCTGCGATCTTCGATTTGGCTTCCGCCAAGGCAGTTTCCAAATCCTGGAGGGTCTGCGGCTGGTTTCGAAAAGGCAGAAACACATGTTTGACAAAAAATATGGGGAATCACTTCTACCTACCTCCAGACCTTTGAAAACATCTCAGCCTCCCCGCCCCACAAAAAATAGACTAAGTCTTGCTCAAGAATTAAATGAGCCCCTTCTGGTAACTTCATACTCCATGCCGGTAGCACAGCAGATTCAAGTAGCAAAGTCCCTGGCACTGCAGCTTTGACACACTTTTTTCATGCGCATCTTCAGCTTCGTCGCTCTCACCACCGCCATGGTCGTTGGTATCGGTTGTGCCCTCCCAGTGGCAAAGATAGGCGCAACATAGCAACAGGTGTTGACCCACTGTGATTTAGGACGACCCGGTACCACATGGAATTGGGAAACAAGCAGATTCTATATCAGTTTGGTAGCCTGGCTTGAGAGTGCTTGCACCAACTTGCTCCAGGATAGCACCTGCAACAGCCATATTTCCTGTAACATCTGTGAAATCTTACAGCTGAGAGCTTGCATATCATCAATGCCATGGTGCCCTTTTCTTTCTGTCCTTTCAACATATTTCAACCACCTCTGTGTATGTGTACACCAGAGTTATCTCGTCACTCCAACCACACCTCCGACTCTGTGGGGTTCACGCGCTGCAAACATCGCACCTGGAGAGATCACCAGAATGGAGCCATTTTGACTATACTGGTACACATTTCTTTATTTGTATCGCTATAAAATCAAAGTCGCATCGTGTCTATGTCAGAGTCTATGTCTGCATCACCCAAGACATCAATCTATTGGATCTACCATTGAGGAGCACGCACAATCTGCAACCACTCGAAACAACTTGTAGGCGAAGAGGCACTTCCTGCACACTGACAAGTCGGGACTTCATGTCCAGGTCCAGATGATTTTCGACCAGCCGGCCTTCGACCTCGCCCATGCCACAGTTCGGCCTCAGCAATCGAATGTGGCCCACTTATTGAACATCTGGAAATATCAAAGATTTATTTCCCACAACATCCTCACATCATCCTGACTGTTTGAGATGCTGTCCATTCAGACTGATTCTCGCTGGGCTTTCAGAAAGCAAGTGGAATCCGAGACATTCCGAGACATGGCATTATGGCATTCCAGTGTTGCTCACGGTCAAATTTCACGCGGCCTGGGTTGGATAGCCCTGCACCTGGACTCAAGTGTCATCGGCTCCCAAGATACATCAGGCGGGAACAAAAATGGTCACCATGGTCACCTGCCTCAAGTCTTTGTCGACAAAGCTCAGACCAATCGGCAGTCCAAGCAGAAGCCACAGCAGCCTTCCATGGATGATCTTGGAATTGCATGGAATTATGACAGCAACTGGGTTGTAACATGTTGTAACATGTTAACTGCACCTATCTTGATATGACGGTGCCACAAAGTTCAATCCCATTAAACCCCCTCTAGATAAGTCAGCATAATATGTCAATGTCATGTGCAAATCAGATTGATTCCAGCCTTGTCCCGCGAGGGACTGGCCTTGGGATTGCTGGAGCAAGCCCACAGCACGAGAAAAAGCTTGCTTCATGCTTTAATGATCTATTTTGATGCATTTGAGGGTCCGTTGATGTTCAATGTAGATCATGTAGATCCAGTGTTTGGTGTTTTGACTATTAGAGTGAGTGAAACAGCACTTTTGAGTCTAATATCTCAAGGAAACATATAGATACATGATGTCAAAAGAAGTCTGTCAAGGCACCATAGGATCCACTGCGCCTCCCCTTCCATCGAACGCCTGCGCCATCTTGCGAATGAAATAAAGGTTGCTACATCAATTCCATATCATCGAAGAATTCATGTGGTCTCGCAAGGCCTTCTCCAAGACATCTTCAAAGATGCGTGACAGCACCACTACCTGGGTCTGGGTCTGCCCAGATTCTTCGTGAACAAATAAGAGGAAGGGATGCGAATGATTGGAATGATGCAAAACAACGTAAAACAAAGCATCGGACAACAGCGTGGGAGAGGTTTAGAGATGGACAGTCACCAGTTTGCAAGCGGCACACCTTGGATGCCGAACCAAAAAATCATTGGCCAAGAACGACTGATTTCTGCGGCTCTCCAAGGCTCAAACGTCAGTGCACATAAGGACCGCTTCCGTTGACAGACCCACGTCCTCTATAAAATTCTGATATTTCTGGTGCAACTTGCAAAGGTCTGAAAGATAGACTGCGAGGTTGCAAGGCAGACGATGTCCTCCGAGCCAAACACCAATGCAGTTTTCGCTTCTGCAGCTCCTGCCCACAATGCTTGCGCAAACCAATTGCTTGAGATCAACTGTTGGCGATGGGAAACGGCTCCTTGTGCATCCACCTGCAAAGTCTAGTTGGTTTGCAACAACTCTAGTTGGTCCAAATTGGTCCTATTAGGCACAAACAGCATATCACTCAAAGTATACCTACCACCAGCGCCAGTTCCGTGTAGGTTGTGAGCCTGATGCTTCTCAGCCATTTGTCTCGCGAAGGACTTCAGGCCTGCTGTGGGTTGACCTTGACGTCTTTCAAATGATATTCAAGGTGAGCAAGTGTTGCAGCAAATGGGTTCTACTGCAAAAACTGGGGACCTTTTGCCGTCTTGAATTCATCTTGAATCATGTTGGTCCATGTTTTCTGCTGTTTGGTGTCTGTCAAAATCTCAGACATCTCGTGGCCATGTTCCAAATCTGGCTACTCGGCTTCAGAAAGTAAGGATGCAACGGAAATTTCGACCCTGGCGACCAGAGAAGGCTACGGATTGTCCTGAAGCGTTCATGGCTCGTGGGTTTTTCGGTTCGTTAAATGTCTTCAATAGAGCAGACTGCAATTCTCCAATGTCAAGAAAAACAACCTAGTCACTGGTCAAGTCCTTTACAAGATGGTTTATCATAATGTCTTCAGATGTGCACTAGTTGTTTCGTCTCCGCCAAAAGGACTAGACCAAAAACCTGCCAATTCAGTGTCTGCCTGTTCCAGTCAAAGCTGCTTTCAAACTTCCGTAGAGCTTTGCGGATTGAAGAACCTCCGCACCCTGGCAAAATGCTGGCATCAATCGGTATAGGAACTTGTGTGTGGTTTTAATATTTATATATATATATGTTATATATTATTATATTATATATTATGTATATATATATATATATATATATTATTATCATTATTATTATATATACATATATATTATTATATTATTATATATATTACTATTATTATATATTATTATTATTATTATATATTATATATTATATATTTATTATTATATACATATATATATATGTATTATTATATTATATCATTATATATTATTGTGATTATCATTATTAGTATTATTATTATTATTATATTATTATTGTATATATATATATATGTTTTATTATATATATATATATATTATTATATATATATATATCATTATCATATATATATATATTATCATATACATATATATTATTATTATTATTATATATATATATTATCATAAATATATTATCATATATATATTATTATATATATTATTATATATATTATTATATATATTATTATATATTATTATATATATATATATTATTATATATATTATATATATAATAATAATATATATATCATTATATATTATTATCATTATTATTGTATATATATATATTATTATCATTATTATTTATATTATTATATATTATATTATATGTCCCACTCTCTCAAATCACAACACATCACAGCCACAGTAGAGAACTGCACCTCCTCTGTGGCCAACCGCTCGCATCCCTTCCACGCAGAAAGATCTAAGGCCTGGAGGTTGCCCCATAGATCCCCCCTGACACGTCAAGGCCATGCCACTGTTGTGCTTCACTGAAGCTGAGCTTCACACGCAGTGCTCAACACTTGAGCTATCCTGATACCACTCAATCAAAAACATGGCAATTTCAGAGTGAAACGAGTGAATATCCCAACATCATCAACCACCTGCTAAACATCACCGAGAATCTCAGCATTTTTGTCCCTTCAAATCACCGGCCCTCCCAGGTCCTCCAACTCTGTGAGGCCCAGCTGCCGGGCCTGCGCCAGGGAAAGGACCCAAGGACCATCTGAGAGTTCATTGGGGGATTACATGGGATTACCTTCCTCGAAATTGGGATGGAATGGATGGATTACTGAATTAAAATTGACAACCTGAGACTATATTATCAAAAAACTGAGGGGTTGATTAATCCTGGCTTCACATTACTCAATCATTAATTACTCCAGAATACTCCAGACAGCAGGCCTTCTCAGATGAACGTCCAGCTCTACCTACGGCAGCTTGAAGTTTGCTTGTGTGCACAACCTTGCAAGGCATATGGATGCAGATGAATGCGCGTGGCACACATGGCACCATCATATCGCAGCCGAGAAAGGATGAGCAAGGTACAATCAGATCGGACACACCGAAATTCGCACACGCACGAGCTACCTCAGCAAATAAAGCAAATCAATGTACAGTAACTGTCTTTTTACTGTGGTTGCAAGATGTTGCAAGATGTTGCAAGATGTTGCAAGATGTTGCAAGATGTTGCAAGTGGATGTTGCATGCTTGCGGTAGCAGGTAGCAAATTCAATGCCTGAACTCAGACTCTCGCCATGCCCACATTTCTGGCATCACGAGGCTCAACCAGGATGACACGGCACCATGGCATCCTCCGAAATCCCCAGATTTGCCAGGAAAGATCTGACGTGGCACAGTCGGGTCCTGCACGTCTTTGGCGTCTCCATGCCATCGCCGTCGCCATTCTCTGGAGACTCCATATCTGTCAAACCTGCCTAGTGATGTGGTAAACCATGGTAAACCCAATAATAGAGACTCCCCAATTCATCAGAAATGCAGATTGCCATGCTGTGGAGTTGCCGCACAAGTTGTTTTGCACCCACTGTGATGGGTAAAGCTACGTATGCGTTCCAAATTTCTGTGTCAAGCCCTCAAACTCGATGATTTGTATTGAAACTAAAACCCATCAAAAATATCTTATGGTCTGAAGTTAAGTTTAGAGCTCTCGACCTGTTTTTTGTTCATATTACTTGTCAAGGTATTGAAGGAGGCTGCGCAGAGCATCACACAATTTGAACACAATTACGCAAAAAACACTGAAAACAATACATGTGTTTCATACTATTTGTTCTTGACATTTCTTGACAAGATTCGTCCAGAAAATTGCCTTGACAGCGAACAGTTTGGGATGATTTCTTCCGTTTTCAGGTGTCCTGCGAAAACTTTGTTCTCATCTTCAGCTCCATAATCCTGGGACCGCATCTTTGAAGGGATTTGGCAATGGCTCAAAGTTACTCACCAAAATGGATGGTTCATATTCATTACCGCAGATGGCCAACTTTGCCCTTTGGTACAGCATGTTTGAACCAGAACAATAAAGGTGATCCATAAGTTCGCGACAAGCTTTCACACTTGTACCTTTCCAAGTGCCACCTGTGCGACACTGGTGCCGTGAAAGATCCTAACGTCCGCAGCGGAAATTTGGATAGCCTCCATTGGTAACTGCGAGCACTGGCACCACTTTGCAGAACCTAAACAAACATGCGAATCTAGTCAGGTCTGAGTCGCGTTCGAGTGCTCTACGTCACAACAACGCAGATCACAAAGCAAGCACATGGTTCCGAACAAGAAGAAATGTTCCACAGGAGTCTTAATAAATAAGCACTAAAATCCAATCAGCAATGCTCAAGAGCTGTAGGACTAAAGAGGTGCCAAACAGAAAACTGCTCTTGGGCGCTGCACTCTGAACCGCTCAGACATCAAATCATGTTCTTCTGAACCTGTCAGCAATAGTAGACAGCAGACAGGTCTGTAGAAGATATTGGTCCTATCCCTTGTAAGGGGTTCTGATGGGGCCAGTGACCAAGATACCCCAGGCATGGAAAATGCACAAGTCAAAAGAAATACTGAAAATAGACTGAACACCACTGAGCACAACTTAGGCAAGCCTGAGCATTCGTTTGTTCTGTCCACTCCGTCTTCACGGCTTGCTCGGAGCAAACGAACCTTGAACGAAGTGTCAGTGCTGGCATCACCTACTTCACATGCGTCCAAAGCCATCGGGATCCATCTGGATCCCCAGCCTCTGCAAGGGACTTCTCTTGTGCCAGAAGAGTGGCCTGCCATCCACTTGGATTAGTCGATGTCGACCAGTGGATTTCACCAGCCTCAAAAGATGAAATGGCATCCTGCGCGGCCGTCGCAAACGGCTTGAAGGCCTTGGATCTCAGTTTCAAACATGTAACATGCACATCTTCTCTATACGAATTGAGATAAATTGACTATCAATGTATGCCTATAATATGCCAAAACATGTAGTATGTAATCATAATTGATATATACATGTACTGGATATGTATAGTAATATAGAAATAATATAGATATGTGATGACATGTGGAAGTAGGGAGAGAGCTAAGGTGATCTCACAGGCTGGTTGCATGAGTGCAATCCCGGTGGAACCGTTAGTGAGTGAGAGCAAACTGCGGAGCCGACATCATCATACCACAGGAGTCCCACACCCTGGCGCCAAAGCATGACAGTATTGAGACCAAACCTGGCCAAAGTATACCAAGCATGAACACTACCAAACTACTGTGGGAAAACTAATTTCCATGAACTCTTTTGTGCGTAACAAATCCTAACAATGGTCATCAATGGTCCACTGATTCAGCTTCCTTACGTTCCATTACAGATGGACCTTCCCTTGGCAGCTTGCTGCAAGCGCCTCCATGTCGTCATCCTCGTCCTCCATCGGAGCCTGTCAGGGGTTGCAGACATGTTCCAAACATTTCCAAACCACCTGGCTGTACGTTGAAATCGTTGAATTGAACTTTGGCGACAACTGCCAGCATGAATTACTGGAAGCTGCACATGTCAAGCCGAGGGAAGCTATAGAATCAAACAACAGGCCTCAGTGCTTTCTGAGAAATCGGCTGCAGGCCTGAATCTCTTCTCAATGCCACAACAACAGACCGTTTCAGGTCAAGCAAGCATGAACTTCACTACCGAATGATAATTGATAATTCAATTCTTCAAATGTGAACAGAATGTATTGCTTTCTGCAGTGCCGGTATTGAGCCAAGATGTCAAATACCTTCTGTTATGCATGTATCGGCTATCGGACCCTCCAAAGCTGAGCGGACCTGGTGCTAGAACTTGCTGAGGCCTCCAGTTGAGAAAAGCCTAAAGAGGCCTTGATTGGAAAATGATAAAGGCTGTGAATCCAAAGAAAACGTTAGTTCAAAGAGCCTGGAGAACTTGAAGAACTTGGAAAAGCAGCTCGTTTTAGGTTTGTGAGCACCCACATCCTCTTGCATCCCGGTTGCAATTCTTACCCAAAAAGACCAACTGGTGGGGTCTGAGAGCAGACGTTCCACCCGCGCAAATCCGAACATGAGCTACTTCCAAACACCAACCTGGGAACCACCCGAAATCCATGCCTCTTCAGACACTGCATCAAATTTGGACGATGCTGACCTGTTAGCAGGTCAACAGGTCAACATACAGGTCAGAAAGTCCCTGAAACATCCTGACACTGTTAAACAATGTTAAACAAGCAGAAAACATCAGTGAACACCATAGAAAGCTTTGAATCAAGCTCAACGGCGCAAGGCCAACGCAAAGCTTGTGCACGTTCGGCCTCCGAGAGAGTCTGGAGCTGCTCGCTCGTGTCCGCTCGGGCTGGGCAAAGAATTTATAGAATTGGCCCAAATTTGGATGAGTTTCGTCCAATTCCACCCATCAGGATCCATCAGGCATCTGTTTCACTGCTGTACACAACTCTGCTGGTAATGATGCTGATGGTTGGCTGAAGGCCAAGGGTCTGACCATATCATGCCTGGGGGACTCCTGGCAATCTTCGATTTCCAAGTGGCCTAGCTGTCTACAAGATTCCACAAGTACAGTTTGTAGGTCCTGGAGAAGCCGTGGAACTTGGCTCAACTCCACAATGTGCTCGTGTGCACCTCCAGCCATGTGATTTGCTGAAGTTTGCATGTCGTCTCCAGTCACAGCAAGGTGCCAGTGGTTTAGAAAAACTGGGCGCCTACAAGCTGCTTTTGTAGTTTCGCGACCAAGAGCAACAGCTGTTCCGGCGAGTAAGTGTAATTCACCTACTAGCAGTCACAAAGTCAGGACAGAAATCAGGTCTCATGGGTGGAATTATCACATTCAGCGGGATCATCATGTTAATTTCAAAAACGCAGCTGTAAAAGCGGCGCATTTCTGTGCTGAATGTCTTGCTGTCTCAGCAGTGTAGACCAAGAACAGACTCCACATCAACTGCAATTGACATGGCAGAGCCCAACCTTCGCTACATTTCGAACCTCAAAGGAGTTGCCGAACCAAACAGTAGCAGCATCTCATGAGACTGATACTGCCTGTCATTGCTTCATGAGGACCCTGGCACTCTTTGCTCTGGTCGCAAAACGTAAGGAAGATAAGGTTTCGTCCTCAGTTTGAAGGATCTTCTGCGTTCAAACCAACAAAAATTACGTTCGTAGGCACCAACACAAACAGCCATCAAGCTCCTAGCTGTCCCTTGTTCATCCTTTTTCCCTTCGGGACATTCCAATTCAAACAATTGAACAGTGGTCACTTAGGCTGTTGCAGCATGCTGAGCACAGCCAGAAGCTGCCACCAGCAAAGTCGTTCGGCAATTTCCACCTAAGGCCTGCGGTCATCTGATGTCCAAACATGTTCAAACACCATCAACCACCAAGTGACCTGTATCCATTGAATCCATGGACATCCCTTGACCTTGAACGCCTTTGCTGTAGCACTTCTGGTTGCTTTTCTTGTGATGGGAAGGGAGTGTGTGTTTGTGTGTGTGCTGCTTTGGCCTTTTGTAGTGTTTCCAGCGTAAATTCCAAGATCAAAGCATCAGCATCCAGTGCTGCAGCTGAAACCCCTCTGCCTCCTGCAGAACTCGTGTCAGCTGGGAGTCTCTGTATGGCACGTGAGGTCTTTGCTCAGCCAATGCGTCGATGACTTTGCCTCAAGTACGAAGTACGACGAAGTACGACGAAGTACGACGAAGTACGACGAAGCCGTGGAGTGGCGCGTGAAGCCACTTGATCATCCAAGGTTCTAACCTGCTGTTCCCTATTCTGAGCAAACAGTATTACCATGTATTGCCTGTGTCTTCTTGGTGCAGTGGCACTACTCGGTGGAAACCCTTAACTTAAGAATGAACTTTGCAAACATGAATCAAAATGAGCAGCAAGTGTATCTGCAGTAAACCTGATCTCCCAGATGCCGAATTATCTGTCACTATCTTGTCCGTAGATGTGTGTTTGTACCAATCGAGTTTATCTTACAGTCTCTTTCTGTAGCGATGTGTGGAGTGAACAGTTAGCCCTATCCAGATTGTTTGATTGCTCTGCGGGGTTGGCGATCTTGGTTTGGAGTGAATTCACAGAAGCTGAGCCAGAAGCCCAAAGCACTCAAAGACCAATTGATCTTCTTCGCCTGACCATCACATGCCACGCTTTGCATACAATTTGGCGCAGAAAAATCCATGAATCAAACAAGGAAGTTGCCGGAAGAACCCCGATGGCAGTCATGTACGACACCACATGGCATCATCCCACATGCATTCGTATGTCCATAAAATTTGAGATGCTTTCCCCATGTATTTTTCGTTTGCAGTATTCCACACTGGTTTTCCACTTATTCACATGTATTCCTTGTTTGTTCACCTTGTCATTTATCCCATTAGGTTCCCATTCAATTCCTGTGTTCTTCACCTATTCTGTTTCGTGTGTCCCATCTATTTCCCATGTCTTTGTTCTCCCTTTATTCTCCATTGCCTCTACTCCCAATATACGCCGTAGCCGGTATCCATGCCGCATGTTCTTCTCCAGATCCTCCAATGGCCTCCTCGAAGGTCTCTCCAGCACAGTCACTTTTGGAGACTTTCTCACTCCCAGCCAGATCGACCAGGGTCAGCCTGGGGCCACCACTGGTGAGCTCTGATGATGTTCAAAAAGAAATCCAGGATCCGGACTTACCAAGCTTTTCATCGCCCTGGGGTGAGGATTGTTCAACCTCAGATCTTCCAAATATGTCCAGAGTTGAAAAACAAGTTGCCCTCCAAGTTGTGATTTTGCATGAGTTTCTGACATGAAGCACAAAGATCACATGGGACCGTGAAGAGTACAGGTTGCAGCGAGTCTTCCCAACGACTCGTGTACGCAGTCCTGCAGCGGCATGAAGTCTTGCTGAATCCAACTGATCACTTGAAACAGACCCACAGACCCGCACTAAATGGCCTTATTATGCCACTTATCATGGTTTATCCTAAATTATGGTATACCATCAAAATATGTCAAAATATCCCAAAATTGAGGGTGTTGTAATGTATGTATACATGTATGTATTGTATACCATCCAAATTAGAATCCAGGGATTGTTCTTCATATTCCCCTTGGAGTAATTATTGACATGATCTAGAATTGCCATTGTCATCGGATTTTTGTTCGGTATCAACCATGGACCAACCCCACGAACCCCAGCTCCATGACGGCTCCTGCACGGATCACTGCCATGACATCTGCTGCGCAGGTGACATACTCCCGGGAAAGACCATCCACAAAGAGCCCACGCTGAGGCACCTCCTGTGAAAACCAAGGCTCTGAGATGTAACACGTGACAATCATTGAAATATATTGAAAAACTTAGGCTTCATGGTGTCAACATGGCACCCCCAACATGGCATCAACCTGGCTCTAATGTGGTGCTGATGTATAAGTATGTGGCTGTGGATCGAAGTTGGGCACCCAATATTTGCAGAATTTTCTAGTTTGGTACGTTACATAGCCACAATTGACCAACATGGTTTAAATCACAAGGGTTACTGGGCGTTCATTTTTACTCCTACGCACACATATTAGAACTACGTGTCAACGGAATCACGTTGACCCCCGGGCCTTGACTCGCAGAGCCTCAAAATTTGGTCGCAGAAGATCTTTCATCTTCTCCCTGTAAACCTGCCAGCTGGGCCCCTCTGGCCATTGACAGTCTGACACAAGATGTAGAGGGAAAGTCAAACATGAATTCACGCCAAGACTATCCAACCATCGTTGCAATCGTGCAAAGCGCAGGCAGTCACCACGCTCTTTTTGTACAACAGCCGAGGGAATTGTAAACTGAACTTGTCCTGGCTGGCTGAAAAGGTGGTTCTATCTGATTTCCAAAATGAAAACTATGATCAAAGAGTTCATCATGCTTGCCCAGCCAACTCTTCAACTATAAGTGAAAATACTTGAAGCACTCAGGTGCAGAAAATCGTCGCCTGGGTTCACAGAAGTGGGATCAGAGAATCCAAGAAAGGTCAGTTGTGGTGCTGTGGTTTCAGTTGTAGTTCCTGCTGAGGAAAGAACTTCAAAGGCAATGGCCCTGTACCATCAGTCCCCGTAGGAAGCATACTCCATTTTGGTGGCTCCAATGTCGAAAATGAAGAAGCCCTGGCGGGATTTCATGGAATCTTCTGGAGCCTTGTCAACGCTCTTTGACTCTCTGTTATCAAGTCTCAATGTTCGCATGAATTGGATCTTTCACAGGCCGGTGTCGCCAAGAAGATCACCGCCACCACGGAAGCAAAGTTGAAGAGCTTGGTAGCAGATGGTAGCAGTGTCACAGCTTGGCACAGTGGATCAAAAGTTGATCCACTTTTTGCAACGCTGCAGTAGCTACCTGTAGCTACCTGTAGCTACAGCGAACTGAGGCATGAACCACGTTGGAGGTGGCGAACTGAGGTGTCTCCGTTGGCGGTGGCTTGCCGTACTGCTCATCCAGGTCCTGACAGCATCCCCAGGAAATCCAAGCTGCAAGTGCTGTGTAAACTTTGACATGAAGATTTTATGATATTTTATGATAGTTTATGTCTATATTCTATATATCCACATATATATATATATCCCTTAATCAATACCCAAATTCATACGCACAATGTCTATCTGATGTCTTCTTTCAATGCTTTCTGTGCGTGGCCAAAAACATCGCAATGTGGGTGTCCGTGGCGATTCGATCTCTGCCAGGCATTCGCTCCCCCTGGAGAGCCTCAGTGCTGTATCCTTTGAAGCTTTTGGCAGCTTTGAAGTCTGGCAAAATAGCTGGTTAATGATGGTAAAATATCGTAAATGGATGTTCACCCCCCTAAATCCTGGTGTATATATGTGTATATTATAGGTTTTGCTCCATCCCCATTTGTGAAACCAATCAATAAGTTCGCGACAGTCTCACGCTGCTGGCCTCAAATTGCTTCTACGTCTTGCATTTCAATCAGCTTTCGAGCTGGCACTTTACCAATCAGGCTAGAAGACCTCTCAATTCTGAAATATTCTGAACTTCGCCAGTGAACACAAAGTCACAATGTTCCTCATGAAACGCAACCCCAGGGGTCCAACTGCGGAGTCGCTGAGGCCTCAATTCGCTGGATGTCTTGGTGCCCAAGATCCCAAAATAGACAGCCTATCTGGTTGATGACCTAAACCCATCCCCAAACTACCAGTCAGCTGGGATCATCTTCTCCACTACGGAAAATGATGCAACGGAAATCAACGGAACCTAAATACCAAATATCCGACATCGCATGACATCGCCAAGCGGTTATGATTCTGTTGGAGTTACAATTGGGAACTCTCAGCTGTGGACTGCGAGACAAAGGCCTCCGATTCTGGCCTCGCCACTGGCTTTCGAGTCAAGAGCATCTGTCGAGAATGCAGCAAAATAATAACAGGTGATTCAGGTGATTATTACAGGTGATTCTGATGCCATGGATAATCATCAGACACCTGAATCACCTTAATAATTAAAAAATCAAAAATTCAGGTGATTCAGGTGTCTGATGATTCTGATGGAATTACACCGTGCCAATTGCAGTACTGTGCCCCGCACAACATGGAGGAGAAGCAGCAAACCTTTGCAGGACCAACACACTCGCACTCTGACAAAGTTATATTGGCAGATATTCGCATCCATTAGATTCTGATTCTGAAGGAAGCTTTTGATACTATGGAAGTTCTACATATTTTGCAATTTGTATAGCTTCTTGATTGCTCCCCGTTTCCTTCGTTTCCTTGAAAGGAAATTGGCGCCGGACAGCGGCCAGCACAGCGGCAATTGTCAAGAAAAGGCATGTGATACGGCTCGCCTTGGTGTGCCACGATCCGGTCAGCACATCCGGCCACTACCAACTCAGCTGGGTTCCACACCATTTCGGGTTACAAAGAGCGTGCTACCTTGTGCGCTCTAAACCTCAACTATCTTCGCTATGTTTGATCAGATCCGAAACGCCACAAGCAGGCAGAAAGATGAGCAAACCTTCATTCCCTTTACTGTCTACCATGCTATCAACAAACCTTGTGGGCTGTTGCACACCGCTGACAAAACGCTAAAGCTCCATTTCTTGCGAGCTAATTCCGACCTGTGCATCTGTACACTGCGGCCAAAGAATGCAGCTGCGAATTTCACTTGCATGTGCCCATGTCTGACCTACAGCAAACATGTCTGTTCAACGCAAAAAATTGTCAAGCAGTTCCAACGAGTGCCAACATGCAGAAACAAAGGCACTGGCCACACGATTTTTTGTGCCTTCACCTTTGTCAGCGGCGGAGATCCTTAGTCAAAAAGGGGAAGTGCATACGTCTCGTAGAGTTTCTCAAAAAAACAAACCTGATAAGCGCTGAAATTACATGGCAGAGGGCCTCATCATAGAAAAACCCAGTAATACCCAATACATGTACCTGTCTATGTTTTTGTTCATGTTCATATTCAACCCACGCAACAGTTGCTGCGCCCCCAAAACTCTTTAGACCAGTCATGACTAAGCCATTTCTGAGTATCTACGTGGCAACCCCCTGTCGCATTCTTGAATGAAATGCCCTCTTTTGGGAGTGGTAATCGCAGAAGCCACTCTTTAGGCAAGTTGCACGGACAAGCCCCCCAAGCAGCTCCTCTCGCTGCCTATGGGGAAAAGGATGGAAAAGACTTCTGATGAGATTTCAGATCACTCAGCTGCGTGGCCTTTCCAGCAGGTAGTTGAACTCTTGCACCTGTCACAGCATGGAATTTCTACACATCGCTCTTGGTATCCTATTTCACCTGCCTTGTTGTCAAGCGCAGCACAGCGCTTCCGAAGCTCTCCAATTGTCTCATCCTGCGCTCAAACTACAAATGGAGATCCATGTAACGTGCAAAAATGTGTTGCTTTCGAGCTTCCCTTCATTCGTTATCTGGCTGCATGAAACACAACCACATCAACCACAACACATACCCTCGTATCCTTGGCTTGCAAAGTTCTTTTGACTTTGGCCTGCACGGCTGTGCGCAGAGCCACAGAGCTGGCATGCTGTTTCTGATCCCATTCTAGCTGCACCTCCAAGTCACTGATGATTTGTTCCTCTCTTTTCTTTGACTCCTCCTCCATACCTTGCAGTTTGGTTTGCTCCTGCAAAAAACCATCCAGGCCGCCTCAAGACTTCGTCAAAGTTGTGACACCTCGACTCTCAACAGAGTCCTTCCCATTCTTTTTAAACTGAAGCCATTTGGGCCCACAATCGTCCAACATCTTCAACTACTCTCATCCAATGGTTTCCTGACAATAAATTCAAACCAAGGCGTGCATCGGTGCAGCACCCGTCCTCTTTGACCTGCACCAAGGCAGCACCCAAGTCTTCCCTCATGTTTTCCAGCTCCTGTCTTTGATTCTGTGTTATTCTGTGGGATCAAGCCAAACAGAGTCAAACTGTGAGAGATTGACCTTTCAGGAAAAATCCAAAATTTTATGGAATCTCTGGATGTTTGATTGTGATTTATGTCTTTGTATCTTGGTATGTTGTTTTCAAGCTCAGATCGAGTCAAGTCCTTCTCTTTAGCCTCATCCAGCTTTCGAAGCTCATGCTGGTGCTTTTCTGCCACCTATCATCAGCTCACATCCAAGACATCCAAGCAGGCGACACAGAGGACTTTAGGTTTGCATTTGCATTGAAAATAGATGGCCAAAGCACAGCGGGAAGGTGAAAATTCTTAGCAGCTAACAATAAGGCACAGTTGGTCCCATAGCTAGCTATATATATATATATATGTGTGTGTGTGTGTATCATTATCTATCTATCTATCTATCTATCCATCCATCCATCCATCCATCCATCCATCGATCTATCTATCTATCTATCTATCTGTCTATCTATCTATCTATCTATCTTTCTATCCATCTATCTATCATTATCTATCTATCTGTGGAAACAACTCCCACACTGGCAGCAGCCGGTGTCGCACCTTTTGCTCGTAGATGCTTGAGCCACGGTTGTGGCGGTTGGCTGAATGGGAAAATCTGTACATGTAAAATAGAAATGACTGCATGAAACTGCGTTTCGTTGTTTCACGTTTTGCAATGCCTTGTCTCACGTTTCCATGCCACTGCTATGCCATGCTAGGACTCCATGTTTCTTCACATGTTTTCACACCTGTCTTAGTTTTGGCATGAAACGTGAACTGCATCGAAATCATGCTACCGGACATGGCTGATCTCAAATCAGCGGTGTCCATGTGTTTCGTCAAACCGTCCGCTAGCATTGTTTTCGTATCGCACCACTTCACTTTGGTAGTGGAGCCTTCAGGCACGTTCTCGCTCATCATCGGATCTCCATATTCTTCACCAACATCACGCCAAATGATCTGCCGCAGGCCACACAGATCGATGGCAAGACGCTTGTCTTGCACCTCACCACCAGAGCATTGGACAAGGTGATCTCGGAGAGATCTGCAATCGGTCACCGCATGGACTGTTATGGCGTCCTTGGACTCAGTCTGCCATGAGGTAGTTCTCGGGTCATGCGGCGTTTTCAAACCATGCAAAACCATTCTCAAATGCTCTGCATCTTCATAACCTGCAAGCATGCTCAAAGACTCAGCTTGCAGCGTGGAGCGGCAAACGCGTCGGATCACCTGGCTTTTCCACTCAAGCAAATGGATATGGCCAGTGCCAGAGCGCATCACTTCCGGGCCACCAACTGCAAGAACACGGCCGGACTGAGACCGAAATCCCATCTTCATTCCAGAAGCTGACAAATCATAGTCGGCAGCATGGCTGGCATCGGTGATCGAAATGATCTCCATGCTGTCAAAGTCAAACTGTTTCCAACCATAAACCAACTTCTGATCTTTTGTCATCTGGGCTCGGCGAAGCAGGCTGTTGGCATCGACCAAATCTTGGACAATCGGTCGTTGCACGCAGGTCTGGAGTCTGTTGGTGTCATAGGCCAAATCGGGGCGACACACTCGCACAATCCAGTTGAGAGAGCCAAGGACACTGCGCAACTGTCCTTGTTCTTCTGGAGTCGCTTGAGCTGTGCGGTCACGTTTTCGGCCAGTGCTAAGCATGATCGGCCGGGTCTTTTCAAGTCCATGAGGGCACTGAACAACAATTCCTTCATCAGTCTGCGAAATTGTTCTGCCGCAGTACTTGAAGGACGTATCTTCAACTTTGCCAAACTTGAGTTGCTCTTGCACCACTTTCATCGCATCTTGGGTCTTCTGACCACCACACCAAAGCAAATCATCTACATGACAAATGCAAAGTCCATCAATCTCACCATTCGGCCCATTCATGACGTAGGCCGCTTGCTCATGAGGCACAGGTCGAAATCCAGCTTTCAGCATTGTTTTGTGTAATGATCTCCAAAAACCTCTGGGAGCATCTTTGGTGCCATAGACAGGCTTCTTGGCAACCAGCAAACTTCCAGCAGGAATCCCAGGAACACCGTCTTTGGGCAAGGCCATGATCAAAACACGTGCAAGTCCAAGACCTTGGAGAAACGCGGCTGTGATATCGCCACAGTGCAGCATCAAAGAGTGACATGATGCAAAGGTCAAAAGGATGGAAAGCATCAGGTGACTTGCTGTAGGTGAATCGGTGCGCACACCACCATCTTGCGCACTTTTCTCCAAATCACCTCGAACAACCAAACGTGATTTCAATTGCTCAGGTTCACCTTGACGGGCTTTGTTGATGTCAACCCATCGTGTTGGAACCACCTGAGTGCCAGGGTTCTTCTCCAAAAACTGCTGAGCTTGTTCAGGAGGAATAACTTCACAGGCATCAAAACCAATCCAGTTGTTCCATTCTTTGGTGCGGGCAGCATCAATGCGTCCCTTCAAACTCTCATCAGCTCGGCCATAGCTTAGCTCTTTCGCCATCTTCTTCTGAACATTCTTCTTGGGACCACGCTTGGCCACAAAACCATGAAAAGTTGAGCTTTGCTGTTGCTGCTTCTCAGTCTGAGATGCAAACATTGCACGAGGAGGTGGAGATCTGGAGCGGTGTCTATTGGGGACACCATCAAGCTTGTTGACAGATCTCCTCATAGCCTCTTGGAGCTGTGAGACTTGAGGTTCTCGTGGAGTGTTTGGGCCAGGAGTTGGAGGAACTGTCGGTGGCACTTCTTCCTGGTCAGGTTCAATCTCTGATACGGTCGGAAGGCGACCTCTGACTTCAGAAGGTTGAGGTTGATCCGATGTCAGCACAGCATCTTGCATCAACTCATCAAAATCATCAAAAGGAACTGCAGGCAATTGTGAGTTGATTCCGGGAGGAGGCTGAGGCGCAGCTGCAAGTCCAGGCAGCTCAGTCACAAGTCCAGGTGACTGTTCAGATGGTGAGGCCACAAGTCCAGGTGGCAAGTTGGGATCACCATCCAAGGAAAGTCCATCAATCGCCTCAGACGTCATGTGTGAGTCCTCCTCAGCAACTGGAGTACCAGGCGAGTACTCAAGTCCATCATCAGGCAAAGGTTCAGGCTGTGCTGGTTGTTGATCATCGGATACATTCATCGGACCAGGAGAAGGAGGAACATTTGCTTCACCACCACCACGTCCAAGGTGAAAGTAGGAGCCAGGTCCACCACCACCAGATCCATCTTCATCTCCATCATTGCCATCAAGGAAGTCCAGGTCATCCAAGAAGGGAAGTTCATGGTCAACATCTTGGGTGATCGGGCGCTTGCGTTTTCTCGATGGCTTCAGTTCAGTGATCTGCTTGGCAATGACTTCGCCAGCAAGTGCGGGTCGCACGCTCTCCTCTGAGATGACAATGGGAATGCCACCATGAATCAGCCAGAGATTTGAGCGTCCCTCTCTGCCAATCATTCGAGCTGGGCCAAACCACTTGTTGCCACGGTAAAAGCAAAGCAAGTCTCCAGGAAAATAAGGCCCTCTGCAAGGAGTGGATCGTCGCATCAAGGCAGTTCGAATCCTGTTGCTGGAGTCCACATGGGCAAAGGATTCTTTGGCAGCTTGTCTGATGTTCAGCTGCTGTGCAAATTGATGTTCTCCAGTGAGGATTTCTTGATGCACTCCAAGATCTCCTTCAGCTCGTTCGGCAGTGAGGCTGCAAACTTCTTCAGGCAAACGACCAAGCACCCATTGGCTAGGCGAAAAACCGCCATGGTTGATCCGGTTGTTTTTCACAAAAGCACACTCAGAAACAACCATCTTCATCATTTGAGATCCAACAACGTGCCTCCCTTGAACAGTGTGAGCAATCATCTCTTTCAAGATGGAACCTTGACGCTCAGCTCTACCGATCTGGTAGTGGGCTTCAGTTCCAGCATAGCGTAGGTAGGTGCCCTGTGATGACATCAGTGCGGCAAATTGGCCACGGTTGTGCACCCCTCGGTCCACAGTCATGTAGCGTGGAGGTCCAAATTGCAACCAACCATCTCTGACAACTTCAGCGCAGCGAAGACTGGATGGGGTTCCACCACCTTCAGACACCACCCAAGCAGCATGGTACAAAGTGCCCATGCAGATGACGCTCAAAACACTGTATCTGTTTCCAAGGGAATCACGGCATTCAAAAACATCTGCCGTCACCTCATAGTTGAACACATAGGGATTTGGAGGTCGGACGACAGGTCGAGGTTTGGGCTTTTGATCTTGAAGACAAGCCTCACATTTGAAGTATCGAAGTCGTTGGATGACTTCAGGGGCAGCTTTGGCAACACGAAGCATTCTTGACATGGCTGAGGTGCTTGCATGGCCAGTCATCTGGTGAAGACGACGTACTGCAACTCGTTGAGAGTAGGGAAGTCTCAGCCATTCTTGTTTTCTGATCGCATCCTCTTCGGCCAAAGCTTCGTCACGCTCTTGACGATCTTCTTCACCCTTGAGCTCCTTGTCATCTGTTCGATGTTGGTGAAGTCCAGGTGGAGCAAGGTCGGACTCATCGTAGATCTTGTCAAGGCTTCCAAGAGGGTTATCTTCCACCACAGCTTCGGCTGGGAAGGCCAACTTGGTCATGTTGAGCTCCAGATCTCGCAAAAGTCCAGAGATCATAGCCTTGCAAAATTCCATAGGCCATTCTTGAGCTCGATGTGTCCGATTGGAGCCTTCAAGTTGTTGATGTTGATGATCGCCAGAGCACTGGATGCCAATGAACTCTTTCACACCAGCAGAGGCAGTCATGATGCCGGTGGGCTTCTTGTGGGGCAGCTTGTTGACCACATCTTTCAACCCAAACATGCATTGGTCGCATCGTACGGCTTCAAGGTGCTCACCAGTTGCTGCATCGCATGGAGCGTCGTGTAGGAGTCGTTGCATTGAGAGCAAATCCCACATCTTTGAAGGCCAGGGTTGCTCAAAGATGATCTGGCGACCTTTGGCAAGCCGCTTTCGTATCAACTGCACCATCCATTGCACCACAGGACGCCATTCACGGCGTATCTCGTGCAGCTTCATCTCAAAACTGGGGTCTTTGGCAAGGTTCACATATTGCCAAGGAGACCAAGGTCCACATGTGGGCGAGAGGCTGATGCAGTAGGGGTCATCCTTCTCGATCTGCTGGTCGATCAGGTCTCGGTGTTGTTTCCATTTCAAGTTGATGCCATCATGGGTCACATCAACAGGCTGGGAGACTGGAAGTCCAAAATCAGTCGCCAGCATAGAGAGGAGGGCAGCACCAGCAAAAATCTCAAGCAAAAACGTTCGGCAGCCACGTGGCAAAACTCTTGGCTGTCGTGACAAATGCTTGGATGCTCTGAGACAGCTCCACAAGTGGTTGTCCTTGTCTTTGACTTCATGGATGGTCTGCGCCAGCTGTCGCTTCTGACCTTTTGTGAGGGTGGTCTTTGGAAGCTCATCGACAGCGAGATGCACTTCCGGAGTCAAGGAAAGTTCATCTTCTTCAGCATCATTGTGCAACGCCTGAGTGCTGTGATCTGGATCACCTTGTTGTTGATGTAGTTGATATTCACCAGGCTCTTCAAGGGAAGTTTCATAGCGGGTGTTGCCATCATCATCGATGGTGCACTTCAGGCCAATGTAGCTTGGGATCAAACGGATCGCCAAAAGTCCATCACGTTGCACAAGCTTCAAGTTGCTCTGCAAGGTTGTGCTGAAGACATTGTTGTTGGCAATGTCGATCTGGAAGCCAAGTTGCCTCTGTGTCTCGAGGCTCAAAAGGAGAGGGGCTTGTGATTGGGCAAGCTCCAGGGAAGGCAAAGTGCCTCTTGCAAACGTGCCACATGTCAACTCAAAGCAAACTTCAAGCACACGTTTTCCAGTGACACGCATGTTGCCACCGATGCCCTTCATGTTGGATCCAGCGCAAGTGTCCAAGCTGACATTGGGACATCCAGTGGCTTGCACAAAACGTTCATACCATTGGCTTCCATGACAAGTCGCATTGCATCCGGTGTCAAGGATGGCAATGAGGTCATTCTCTGATCCACAGCTGTCCTGCACGGCCATAAATCCAGAGACCGATGGAGCAGGAGATGGGCGACGCTGCATCTCACGGAAGTAGTGGCAAAGCTGTTTCAAGCCACTTCCGATGGATTTTCCAGTTCGCTTGACATTCTCTTCCTCCTCCAGGGCCCAATCCACATAGCTTCGATCACACCAAGCCTTGTAAAAGGTCTGACCTTTGAACTTGCCAAAGTTGACAAGGTTCGTACCAAGATCTTCAAGGTGTTCAGCTTGGCTTTGGCCACCAGGTGTGTGAAGTCCATGATGAGCAGAACTGGCCGGAGTGCCAGGGACAGGAGTCGTGGATGGAGGGGTCACTGCAGAAGAAGAAGCTGCTCCATGAAAATCCAAAGGAGCTTGTCCAGATTCAAGTTCATGAAGTGCAGTGACACCGATGGCATAGTCCAGGAGCATGTGAAGTTCTGTGGAACTCACCGTCTCAGCTTGTGGCATGCTGGCTCGCTTGGCATTCAGGGCATGTTGGATCACCTGAATGAGCATGGGGAAGGAGGAGACTCTCACTGGTCGCTGCAGGCCAAGTCCAGGTGCCTGAGCTGAAAGTCCATGACCAGTGTTGTTGGCCGCAAGTCCAGGGCCAGTGGCCATAAGTCCAGGGCCAGATCTTCCAGAAGTTCTGAGTCTCTCAGCGCCAGCAACAGGTCCAGTTCGGACTTCGCCACAAGCACGGCAGGTCCTTCTCCATTGGAACGCATTTGTTCCAGCCCAAGTCACAGAGTGGTGAGGACAGTCCATCCGATCAGGATGAAAGACATGTCCAACAGGTCCAACAGCACCACCCTTGGGCATAGCTCCAGTGACGGTGGATTCTCGACGTTCTCGTGAAAGAACCATTCCGCAGTCAAGGCATCGTCGCAGGGTGTAGTATGCATTGGATCCACGTGTCGTCACACGGAGGTGTTCACATAGAGGTCTGTCATGTTGAGGAGGTTCATCACCAGGAGGTCCACTTGGCATAGGCATTGTTGCCTTGCTCATCGAAGGTTGAGGTCGAGCTTGTTCTTGAACAGGCATGGGTTCAGCATGAGGCGGCACAGAAGAATGTCCGGAGAGATCAGGAAGTCCAAGAGGTTCCGGCAGTCGTGGGAGAGATCTGAAGAGCTCTTGAAGTCCAGATCCAGTCAAATTGGCTGGAAGTCCATAGCCTGCAAGTTCTTCGGGTACTTCATAGATCAAACGTCCATCATCACGGGTTTCAGCAACACCCAAGGCATTCACAAGCATGAAGGTGTCGAGCTCGTCCTGGGTCAAGGTGGCGCCCTCAGCAACCTGAGTCACAGGCACAAGTTGTTCATCAAGCTGTCGCCGATCTGGCGTTGGTGTCGGAGTGGCCACAGGTGTCTGTTGTGGCGTGACAAAACCATCCTGCAAACTGCTGGGAGGTGGTACTGCATTGTATCTTTGTGCCATGTATCCATGTTGTTCACCATCATCATCACCACCATGAACTGCAAAGTACACGGTTCTGGTTTTGGGTTGTTGCGACTTCCCAGAACCCTTGTCACCCTTGTTGGATGAGGCCCCAGCAGCAGGTTTGCCTTTTCCAGATCCTTTTGGGCAGCTAGGATCTCCACTCCAGTGTCCAACTTGGTTGCATCGCCTGCATGTTGTGCGACTCTTCAGAAGCTGAAGTCGCTGTTGTCGCTCGGTCAATGACAACTGACCAGAGACATCGAAGTGCTTGGCGCCCTTGCTTTTGCCCTTGCCCTTGAAACCTTTGATCCCTTTGTTGATGGCTCTGTCTCTCGCATAGTAGGCTTCCAGCTCAGCCTGAATCACATCTGCCGCATAGTCCATGGACTCTTCATCATTGACGTCCAAACCATCAGCTGCCAGCATGGCCAAGATCTGGCACTCATCGTTGCCAGATGCGCCCATGTAGGTCTCATACTCATAGTTCGTGGTGTCCTCATAGTCCAGGGCGTCCTCTGAGACAGGGTCATAGGACTGATAGGCCTCAGGTTCATGCCAATCGTCATAGTCCTCTTCAGCCACATAGCCATGACGCTGATGTCGATGCCCTTGTCCATGAGACTTCCAAGATCTGCCATCGCCCTTGGGTCGTGCTCCATCATGTCGTCGGGGTCCAAAACCTCGAGCTTCTCGTTCATGGATCTTGGAGTGCTGGGCAATCAACTCAGTGGCGACCTTCTCGAGGGACATATCACCTTGGATTGCAGAGCGTATCAACAACTGCATGTTGTCAGTGATCCCGGCATTGGTGAGCGTCTGCTCGGCCAAGATCAGGTCAGGCAGTTTGAGCTCCTTGTTGAGGTCCACCATCGCTTGGTACCATGCTTGACGGCGCACCAAGTAGGTTCCCATAGGTTCACCTTGCTGTCGACTCAGCATGCCATTCTGCTGAGCACCTGCCATGTACAACTCACGTGCTTCCTGAATCCTTCTTGGCTTCAGGGTTTCATTCAACTTTTCCAACAACATTTCGGCACCCTTTTCACCAGCTAACTCCGTTGTTGAAATCAACTGGGCTATTCTAAGTGCTGACCCTGACAAACCTTCAACCAACCTCAAACCAAGTGGTCCTAGTTTCTTCTGCTCCTCTTCTGGCAGAAGTGCTTCTCGAGTGCCACGCGCCCTCACACGCCAGCAGTATTCGGCAAGCTTCTGCGCTTCGCCACCAAATCGAGGTAAGCCACCACCCTTCGATTCGGTGCTCGTCACAGCATCCTCGGCATGGATGAAGTTCGCATACCGGAAGCTTTCAAGCAGGGCCATGGAGCTCTGCTGCAACGGCGCGTCCAGCGCCACGTCGAAAAAGGTGGGCTTCCAAAAGCCCCGGAGCTTGGTAGCTCCGCTACCAGTGTGGAAACAACTCCCACACTGGCAGCAGCCGGTGTCGCACCTTTTGCTCGTAGATGCTTGGGCCACGGTTGTGGCGGTTGGCTGAATGGGAAAATCTGTACATGTAAAATAGAAATGACTGCATGAAACTGCGTTTCGTTGTTTCACGTTTTGCAATGCCTTGTCTCACGTTTCCATGCCACTGCTATGCCATGCTAGGACTCCATGTTTCTTCACATGTTTTCACACTATCTATCTATCTATCTATCTATCTTATCGAATCGAATCGAATCGAATCGAATCTAATCTAATCTAATCTAATCTAATCTAATCTATCTATCTATCTATTCTATCTAATCTATCTATCTAATCTAACTATCTAATCTATCTATCTAATCTATCTGATCTGATCTGATCTGATCTGATCTGATCTGACCTGACCTGACCTGACCTGACCTGACCTGACCTGACCTGACCTGACCTGACCTGACCTGACCTGACCTGACCTGACCTGACCTGACCTGACCTGACCTGATCTGATCTGATCTGATCTGATCTGATCTATCTATACATATATAAAGATATACGTATATATATATATATATTATATAAACATATTATATAGACATACTTAGTACATTTTAGTAGTTCATCCAGCAGCTCAAGAGACCTTATCATTCACGGCCGCCAGCTCGGATCGCTCCCTCTCCAGGTCAGAACCTTCTCGGATCGGTCCCAATGGATGCCGAAAATAGGCGATTCAACCCCCAAAATGGCAAGTTTAATGTGAAAATGATGGGAAAATGATGGGAAAATGATGTGAACATGATGTGAAAATGATGGGGAAATGATGGGAAAATGGTGGGAAAATGATGGGAAAATGATTGGGAAATGATGGGGAAATGATGGAAAAATGATGTGAAAATGATGGGAAAATGATGGGGAAATGATGGGAAAATGATGGGAAAATGATGGGGAAATGATGGGAAAATGGTGGGAAAATGATGGGGAAATGATGGGAAAATGGTGGGAAAATGATGGGGAAATGATGGGAAAATGATGGGAACATGATGGGAAAATGATGGGAACATGATGTGAAAATGATGGGAAAATGATGGGAAAATGATGGGAACATGATGGGAAAATGATGGGAACATGATGGGAAAATGATGGGAAAATGATGGGAAAATTATGGGGAAATGATGGGAAAATGGTGGGAAATATGGGAAAATTAAATGATGGGAAAATGATGGGAACATGATGGGAAAATGATGGGAACATGATTGAGAAATGATGGGAAAATGATGGGAAAATGATGGGAAAATGATGGGAACATGATGGGAACATGATGGGAACATGATGGGAACATGATGGGGAAATGATGGGAAAATGATGGGAAAATGATGGGGAAATGATGGGAAAATGATTGGAAAATGATGGGAAAATGGTGGGAAAATGATGGGAACATGATGGGAACATGATGGGAAAATGATGGGAAAATTATGGGAACATGATGGGAAAATGATGTGAAAATTATGGGAACATGATGTGAAAATGATGTGAAAATGATGGGAAAATGCTGGGAAAATGATGGGGAAATGATGTGAACATGATATGAAAATGATGGGAAAATGATGGGGACATGATGTGGAAATGATAGGAAAATGATGGGAAAATGATGTGAAAATGATGGGAACATGATGGGAAAATAATGGGAAAATGATGGGAACATGATGGGAAAATGATGGGAAAATGATGGGAAAATGATGGGAAAATGGTGGGAACATGATGGGGAAAATGATGGGAAAATGATGGGAAAATGATGGGAAAATGATGCGAACATGATGGGAAAATGAAGGGGAAAAGATGGGAAAATGATGGGAAAATGATGGGAAAATGATGGGAAAATGATGGGAAAATGATGGGAAAATGATGGGAACATGATGGGAAAATGATGGGGACATGATGGGAACATGATGGGAAAATGATGGGAAAATTATGGGAAAATTATGGGAAAATGATGGGAAAATGATGGGCAAATGATGGGAAAATGATGTGAAAATGATGTGAACATGATGTGAAAATGATGGGAAAATGATGGGAAATGGGTGGGAAAATGATGGGAAAATGATGGGGAAATGATGGGAACATGATGGGAAAATGATGGGAAAATGATGGGGAAATAATGGGAAAATGATGGGAAAATGATGGGAACATGATGGGAAAATGATGGGGAAATAATGGGAAAATGATGGGAACATGATGGGAACATGATGTGAAAATGATGGGAAAATGATGGGAAAATGATGTGGAAAATGATGGGGAAATGATGGGAAAATGATAGGAAAATGATGGGAAAATGGTGGGAAAATGATGGGAAAATGACGGGGAAATGATGGGAACATGATGGGAAAATGATGTGGAAAATGATGGGAAAATGATGGGAAAATGATGGGAAAATGGTGGGAAAATGATGGGAAAATGATGGGAAAATGATGGGAACATGATGGGAACATGATGGGAAAATGATGGGAACATGATGGGAACATGATGGGAACATGATGTGAACATGATGGGAACATGATGTGAACATGATGGGAAAGTGATGGGAAGATGATGGGAAAATGATGGGAAAATGATGGGAAAATGATGTGAAAATGATGTGAACATGATGGGGAAATGATGGGAACATGATGTGAACATGATGGGAAAGTGATGGGAAGATGATGGGAAAATGATGGGAAAATGATGGGAAAATGATGTGAAAATGATGTGAACATGATGGGGAAATGATGGGAAAATGATGGGAACATGATGGGAAAATGATGGGAAAATGATGGGAAAATGATGGGAAAATGATGGGAACATGATGGGAACATGATGGGAAAATGATGGGAAAATGATGGGAACATGATGGGAAAATGATGTGAAAATGATGGGGAAATGCTGGGAAAATGATGGGAACATGAATGGTAAAACTGATTGGACATGATGTGCAATGCTGTGAAAATGATTGAAAATGAAGGGAAAAGGAATGGAACATGATTGGAATAATGGGAAATGATGGAACACGATGGGAACATGATGGGAAAATGATGGGAAAATGATGGGGAAATGATGGGGAAATGATGGGAAAATGATGGGAAAATGATGGGAAAATGATGGGAACATGATGGGAACATGATGGGAAAATGATGGGAACATGATGGGAACATGATGGGAACATGATGTGAACATGATGGGAACATGATGTGAACATGATGGGAAAGTGATGGGAAGATGATGGGAAAATGATGGGAACATGATGGGAAAATGATGTGGAAATGATGTGAAAATGATGGGAAAATGATGGGGAAATGATGGGAAAATGATGGGAACATGATGGGAAAATGATGGGAACATGATGGGAAAATGATGGGAAAATGATGGGAAAATGATGGGAAAATGATGGGAAAATGGTGGGAAAATGATGGGAAAATGACGGGGAAATGATGGGAACATGATGGGAAAATGATGTGGAAAATGATGTGGAAAATGATGGGAAAATGATGGGAAAATGATGGGAAAATGATGGGAAATGATGGGAACATGATGGAACATGGAAAATGATGGGAAATGATGGGAAATGATGGGAAATGATGGGAAATGATGGGAAAATGGTGGGAAAATGATGGGAAATGATGGGAAAATGATGTGAAAATGATGGGGAAATGATGGGAAAATGATGTGGAAAATGATGGGAAAATGATGGGAAAATGATGGGAAAATGATGTGAAAATGATGGGAAAATGATGGGAAAATGGTGTGAAAATGATCGGAAAATGATGGGGAAATGATGGGAAAATGATGGGAAAATGATGGGAACATGATGGGAACATGATGGGAAAATGATGGGAAAATGATGTGGAAATGATGGGAAAATGATGGGAAAATGATGGGAAAATGACGGGGAAATGATGGGAACATGATGGGAAAATGATGGGAACATGATGGGAACATGATGGGAAAATGGTGGGAAAATGATGGGGAAATGATGGGAAAATGATGTGGAAATAATGGGAAAATGATGGGAAAATGATGGGAAAATGATGTGAAAATGATGGGAAAATGATGGGAAAATGGTGGGAAAATGATGGGAAAATGATGTGGAAAATGATGGGAAAATGATGGGAAAATGATGGGAACATGATGGGAACATGATGGGAAAATGATGGGAAAATGATGTGGAAATGATGGGAAAATGATGGGAAAATGATGGGAAAATGATGGGAAATGATGGGAAATGATGGGAAAATGATGGGAAAATGATGGGAACATGATGGGAACATGATGGGAAAATGATGGGAAAATGATGTGGAAATGATGGGAAAATGATGGGAAAATGATGGGGAAATGATGGGAAAATGATGGGAAAATGATGGGAACATGATGGGAACATGATGGGAAAATGATGGGAAAATGATGGGAAAATATGAATGAAGTGGATTTTGGGGTGTTTTCAGACCAAGCCAAATAGATATGTGATGCATTGGGATGCATTGTGCTGACATATCGTGCTGGGCACATTGTAGTTAGGAGAAGCGCCATGAAATTCTGAGGACTTGGCAGGTCCTTTGAAGATCAGCCAGGCGTGCCGCGTCAGCAGCTTGCAAGTTCTGACACCGCAGATCACACCAACAGAACCACTCAATGACTCTATCAAAATGTAAGCATGACGCAGCATGACGCAGCATGACTTAGGAATTTGATGCAAACTGTGCGCAAACAGGTGGGGGTGAGGTCCTTGAGGTTTCTCACAATCTCCTCGTTCTGTTGCTTCTCAGCTTTCAGTGCCGCTACCTTTCCGCCAAGCATGTACACAGGCTAGAATGAAGACAAGTCCCAACACATCGAAACAAAGCAAGAACGTGCAAGAAACTATTTGCAAACAACACTGTTACGACTCTTAGCTCTTAGCCACACAAACATCGCTGGCACATGCACAAACATTCCACTTTCCCTTCAGAATCTCTGGCCTCAGCTTGACATTCGTCAAGTTGCTTTGCAAGCCTTGCTGCTTCTTCTCCTCACGGCTCGGAGCATTCACAAACCCAGCTGGTTTCTGCAGGTCATCTATGGTAATTTCCAGTTCATATGCACTTCATGTGCAAACCACGTGCAGCCCCAACGATCCCAACGATCTCGTGCCTGCCGATGCCCGCGCTGCTTGGATCTTAGCATTTGACTCGGCTTCAGCTGCCAACTGGCGCTCCACATGCTCCCGGCTAAGGCGCTCCATGACGATCTCCAGCTGTCTGTCCCGCTCAGCGGAGAGTTCTTTGCGAATGGTGGCCTCGTGCTGTTCCAGCTGCGCCCGGAATTTGTCATTCGCGAGGCGTTCAGCTTCGTGAGCTTCTTCTCTAAGAAGGTGCTCAAGCTGCAGAAGTTGCTGCTGATGCTGTTGTGTGGACTCAGCCAACCTGGTCTCTGCATCTTGGACGGCAGCCTGGCATTTTGCTCGTTCTGCAGCCAAGGCTTCACGAAGCTTTGCCTCTGACCCCTCTGCACCCTGACGAAGCAACTCCTCTCGTAAACGTCTCTCTGCAAGCAAATCTGCTGCGCATTTGGCACGTTCTTCCTGCATCTCACGATTGAAACGCTCGAACTCCTCACGCAACTTCTTGCGGTGCGCCTCACGCTCTTTGTCAAGTGCTGTTTCCATCTCGCGGTTTTTTTCTTCCCGTAGCTCCCGGATCTGCTGTTGCGTCATATCAAGCAACTCACGTCTCTGTTCATCCAAAGCCTCTCGTTGCTGCTCTTCCATGCGAATTTTGTCTTGTTTTTTCTCTGACAAAATGCGTTCAACTTCTGGCTGCAAACCTTTGATAGTCATTTCCTTGATTTCCTTCACCTTCTCCTTCTCCCAAGCCTCTCTCTTCATGCGTTCGGTTGCTATCCAGTTCTGTTTGTTCTTTGCCAGTTCTTTGGCCGCATGGTCATCCATCTCTTCCATTTTCATCTGGAACTTTCTCTCCACTGCCTTCAACTCTTCTGAAAAGAGTTCGCACCTCTTTGTAAGTTCTGTCTTGTCATTCAGTAGACGATCCACCTTGGCGCATGGATGGTGCACGGGTGTGCCCTCTTATATATATAATTACATATATGTAATTATATATATATCATTGTATATCCCTTTGAGCTATTTTGAGTTTGTGAATGTGAAGCTTCCCAAAGCTTTTGCTTCAGAAGCCTAGATTTGAAGGTTTCAGAGGCTGAGACTAATCGCAGGTGCCTTTCCAAGCCAGCCTGAGCAACTTAACTGGCACAGCAAATAATTGGTGGTCTGTGGCAATTCTGGATGTAGCAAAGATATGTATATTCTGTGTGCCTCATAGTGGGTCTTCTGCTTATGTAGTTTCTCCTCCCACTCCTTCTCCTGGCTCGGCAATGCTCAGAGCATGACTTCGCTTGATATCACAATCAATGGCACATTAACCCCCCAGGAGCGCTCACCATGTCTTTCATGGACTTCTTCTCATGCTCCTGGAACTTTGGTAGAGTGTCCAGTATACAGTACAGCAATGCAGAATGACACTGCATAAACAAATGAACTCATAGTACATCACTGTGATTCAGTGCAACTTCCGCAAGTCCTGTGATTCTTGAAGTGCTCGCTTCAAGGAGTCAATGATTTGCTTCTTGTCGTGGATCTCCACCTGACACAGTCTTGGATTCGGGGATGTGATCATTTGTGTACAGATGGCATGGTTCCACAAAGACTCCCAAATGCCTCCATCATGGAAGCCCGAGAATGAATAGCAGCAGCATCCTCGTGTCAGTTCTAGTGGGATCAAACACAACATACCTGACCCAAACTTGCATGCCCCAACATCCCTAAGATTCTTAACATCCCTAACATGCCACTGTCTCCTGGGTCAGCCCAGATGGAATGCGAGGTGGCCTCCCATCAAGTGGATTCAGCTGGTGACAGATGTAGCTCCCTGAAACTTAAAGAACTTTGAAGCTGCCGCGGCTGCCGCTGCCAGCCTTTCTGGAAGGTCAATGTCTGAGGGATCAAGACCTCAAGAACTGCATGCACGAAACTGCAGCAAACAATCCTTTTGTTTCTGGCCAAGTTGCTGCCAGGATATCTTGTTGAGCGGGATGACAGCAATCTCAGCATGAAGCTGGCTCCGTGCTCAAGTTCCCTGTGACACAGCTTTCAAAATACTGTATTCGTTGACAAAGGCTGCTTTTCCGAGAATGGCACGAGGACATATCTGCTTTTGAAGACTCCTGAAGCAAACGCTCTCAGCCTTACCTATGTATTGTCCCGTTTGTCCCATGTCTCAAATGGTGTAGGGGGCACTGCAACGCAGATCGAACAACTTGCGTTTTACATGTCTTTTTCGTATTCATGGCACCTCCACCTCCTCCAAGAAATTCATGATCGATGCAAGTCGCTCCTTGCATATCAGGCGTCTTCTAACTAGAACAACCATATGCAACAATATGTATATATATATATATATTATATATATATAAGCAATTCCCGTAATCTAGACTGAACACGGCTGCTGCAGGGGACCAACTTGTCCCAAAGAAGTCAAGACGGATCCTGTGGCTGTCTCGTGATGCAAGGCCTAGGATGGATTGGATGCTGGCAGTGACTTACCAAAGTCGTTCCATTTATATATATATATATATATGTACAATATCAAAATTAATCATAATTTATCATCATTAATCATCACTAATCATTAATCAATAGCACAACAAGGGCTGGTGTGGCTGAAGCAGAGCTGAGAAAAGATCAGAAAGGGTGAGAAAGGTATAGGTTTCTTATGGTTTCTTGCCAGGTTGCGGGAAGATTCAGTCTCGCAAATTGCTGGCAGGGTCCGGCTAGAAGAGTCACCGTGCCCCCGTTACACAAGCTTTGCCACTGTGGAACCGGACTGGACTGGTGTGGCCTAGCAGCATTGTGGCACCACTAGCACCACTGCACAGCTTTCAAGTAGGTAGTGCATTTTGAATCATTCTGAGCCATGCCCAAAACCCTTAGACTCTTAGACTTGGTGCTAATTTGTTGCAACAGTTTCCCTTGGAGTCTTTGATCCTAATGAGATCTACGAAGATCTAATAAAACCTAATAAAATCGAATAAAATCGAATAAGATCTAATAAGATCTAATGACCCCATATGACCCCATTATCATCCAAGGTATTCATCAACCAACGCATCAACAGCGCAACGTCACCTCCGGCTGTGAGTCTTCGCTTTGCCGCAGCTCCTAGGTGGGCACAAAAAGTGGCTGCTGATGCTTGCAGCTGGTTGCAACGTATGGCTCAAGCATGGCTTACCAAAAGGAAATTGAACTTGCTCATGTTATCCATGTGATCTCATGTTTAGAATTGTTTAAGGATTAAGGTATGGTTAGTACTCAACCATCCAAATTAGAGGCCTAGAAATAGGCCAGCCATGGCAGCCATGGCCACATTTGGGTCGATGACCAGCCTTGATGGATTTGATCCGCAAGCGCATTTGCGTCACTTTGTCCTGGCATGACAGGGAGCCAGCTTGCCAAAGTCATCCAGAAACTCATCATTGTAGCAATAATAGATTAATAACAATGGGTTAATAATATGGGTTAATAATGGGTTAATAATGGGTTAATATAATGGGTTAATAATGGGTTAATAATGACTTGAACACTACGTGAAAGCTCAAGCTGGTCAGCTCCACAGTTGGGCACAATGAATTTGGCATCTTCCTGAGTCCACATTACATGAAGACAATCACTCAGCAAAAAAGGCTTTGATCGCAGCAAAATCAACAGCTGGGCCAATGACTCAGATGGTGTCTCAGTTTCCGGTGCAGGTGGATTCGCGGCAGAATCCTGCAAGTATTCACAATGCCCGCTGAGTACTGTGTACACGTGCCAATGGTGGAAATGGTGTGGCTGCAGTCTAATGTAGTCCTTGCTATCTGCATAGATACCGGGACAGTAGGCTTGCCGCCTGCCAATCACACAAGGTCTGCGGTTGACCACAAGTCGTTCCAAAGCCAAGCCTTGCCTGGGTGCTGGAGAGAGTTGTCCGAAAGACGGACTTGTGAGGCAACTCGTTGCCTTTCGCTTTGTTGAACATCAGTTTCTGCCACATCAGCAAGTAGCTTGCCTTTATGCCTTTATGCATTGATATTAGCTGTATATTTCTCCGCAGGTCATGATTATGCAGTGTTATGCAGTGTTACACTGCTGTTACACAGTGTTACAGTACGGTAAATATTTGGTCGGGCTAGTGGTATTAGCTTCACCTCGAGCCTGCGAATCTAGATCCAGCGGGCCCATGGCGCCGGTTCAGCGGCATGACTTCACAACGATGCAACGAAGTGTGAATTCATGGTGTAGGCAACATGTCTTTCCACATTCAGTTTGTTCTGAAAATGCTCAAAAACCACTAGTCCGTGGATACAAGTGATATATCATGATTTAAGCACGTGTTGCACGCTGCCTTTGCTAGTTTGTTTGACTGCATCCCTTTTGGTTTCCATGTTTTTTTCTTCTGTGTAGTTTGAGCAGTTGAAAGCTGCAAGGAATCGCACACTGCTGAACACCATGTGTCATCGGTTGATCCGGGTTCCCATATTGGATTACAATCATTGCCATTCTACTAGGTAGAATACATATGAATACATCATAAGAGTCTCGATTATAGCAGATCGTATTTCCGCTAAATGTTATCCAGGATCCATAATATCTATATATATATATATGTCTATGGTCGGTCTTCATTCCTCTATATCACATATAATATAAATGATTATATAATATTATATATAAATTATAAATGTAAAATAGTATAATGTATATCATATAGATGCAGTGTAGCACCATTTTCCACCATCAACCACCACCATTTTCAGCTGACGCCTCCATGAAGCTGCAGCGCAGGGTAAACTCGGTGTCTTCCATGCTGGACTCGATGTGATGAAACACCTGCCAGGGCCATGGCAGTTTCAAGATATTTCAACATGGGTGTGTCTGAAAATAGTGTACCCCTAAACCCAATGGCTATAGTGTATGATAATTGGCTATCATTATTATAGGGATGGTTAAACCCATTTTGTTAATGATCATTATCCCTATTAAATGGCTATAATTGGGAATATACCCTATTTTCAGACAAACCCACATGGTTTTTGCATCAGGATGCTTTCACATGTTCTTGCCCCAAAATAGGTTTTTCCAGCAGAATTTCTCGAAACCAATTCTGGAAGGAAACAAAGCAATGGGATACCAACATGGTCCAATCCCAGCTGCAGGGTATCAAATTCATCTCCCTCTGGATTTGGAATCGGATTCAAGAACTCATTGACACATGTCAGTACCAGTCTTGCTGATCCTTTCCTGCAAACGAGTGCTAAAACCAAGAAGTCAAATCACACGACAATGAGGAAATACTACAACACGGTGCCACTGCTGACTTTAAACCAAAAGAGGGGTGTGCGACAGAATGGCACATGATGCCTGTTGCGCGGCCCTCGGCACAATTCCGTGGAGCTCCAGCCTAAACTTTCACCCCGCTGCGTGCGAAATATGCAAATAATTTGCAGGAAGGAGAATGGCCAGCTATTTACAGTAAGGATATAATATATATATATTAATATATACGTATTATATATATTATATTATAATATATGAAAATGGCCGAACTAGAACGATTCCAAAACCTCCCAATGAATTCCAAACTGCTACATCTACCATCTGAGCCAACTGCACCCTGAGATACCCCGAGGCTTTGAAAGCACCCACTGAAGCACCACCTTTTCTGTTGCATAATATTGCAATATGTTAGGGTCCTCAGGCCGCAACACGTTTTCTGTTGCACTCTCACCTTGGAGGCCAAAGGATACGTCCAGCAGAGAAGAACCAAATACCAACCTGAAGCGATGACTGATCTAAGTTGATCCAAGAGTCACAGTCACAGCAAACTGTTGAGAGCTGCGCCATACATGCTGTATGTCTTTCCGGAAGACTGGCCGCTTCAGATTGGGCAAGTCTGGTGAAATGTTGAATTCCGGAGCACTTTTGCATTCTGTCCATGTTTTTCCCACCAAAATCGCCGGGAGCACTGTCTGCCCGTAAGCCAGGACGGTGCCATTGTATCCATTTAGAACATCCACTACCACAGGTTTTCCGACCTTGCAAGACCGCAAGAAAAATAGGTTTGTGCAAGAACATGGATTAACAATGGGAGGAGAAACCACGAGAAACCACTAGTTGGGGTATACGGTATACGCCGATTTTGGGACATACTGGCATACTCAAAGAAACTCAAAGACATCAAAGGACCCACCCGAAACAAAGTGACATCATCTCAGCATAGAAAGTTCACGAATCTGAGATCGCTGCGTGTTCAAAGACCTGCTCTTGACTTGCAGCCTCAGAAGAACAAGTGCTGGGGTTGGTGGTTTCAAGCCAATCCGAAAAAGGACTTGCTGAGTGATATTTAAAAGTGCGAAAAAAAAAAAGAATAGAAACCCGCAACCAGACACATCCCTTGCAGTGCCGCAATGACAACCACCGGCAAATTGTTTTCATTGCCAGATTCAACGGCCTCTGCAAATGTGCGGCTGAAGTCAAAGCAGTAGGTACCATCTACTGACTCCACCTCACTTCCAATGAATCCAGGAAATCCAGACATAGACCTGGAAATGATGCATACCATATCATACCATTAGAAAGCTTCGAAGCAAGACTGTTCCAATGGTGTTCTGGGGACTCTGGAGATTTTTTGGGGACTCTGGGACAACGGCGCTTTTGCCATTTGGAAGGATGCAAAAAGCGGTGTGATCTTCCAACACTCGAGGCCTGGCCAGGACATGTCACCCAACCGACAAGGCTTGGCAGCCCACACTGAGCTTTCGCACCGAAATCGTACGACCACTTGAACCGGAATTCCTCGAGTCCTGCGGAAGCCGATGGAAGCCGTCTCTGCTGATGAAGATTTTGGAAATGTGTCACCAAGATCATTGAACAGACAGTTTACTGTAGGTAGTTAGTGCAAATTGAACTGGAATGTATCACATCTGCCTATCAAACATGCGAGAGAAAAAAATCCAACAAGTTGACTGGCCACAAAGGTTGCACTTCAATTTGCCCTTGGATCTTCACAAATGCTCAGCTTCCAATTTTCCCAGCACAAAATGCCCCACATACTTCCCTACAAGCCTCGCCCCTTGCAGGTTAAACCCGGTTTGGCGAAAGCATGCGGAGCTGGCAATTTGTTGAACCAATTCTATTCCAGACTTGGCGCCATCACCGTTTCAAAATACATTCCCCAAATGGTTTCGGAGATTTCACGTTACCATCTTGCTCTGGGATGTAGCAAAAGCAGTTTCTAATAGTTTCTACTGTTTACTCTTATGTGCATGAAATGGTTGCAGGTGCTGCAAAAGACAGGCCTTCACCAAACAAGGTGCAGGTAGAGACGAGACATCTTTTGAATCTTGCGTCTTGACTCTTGAACTTAATGATCTTAATGAAGGTAAGGGAATTTGAATCAAGAAGGCGGATTAGGGGCGTTGGACTTATCCGAGTAAGTTGTGACAGAGCATTTTGATCCTTACTTTCTTCAAAACTAGCCGCAAGATAAGACTGTCAAAGCAAATGATGTTCATTTTAGTTGCGTTGGGACGAGTCAGCCATCAACCAAAAGCTTGCGTGTGTGATTATGCGTGTGTGTGTGTGTGTGATTAACTGATTAACTATATGCATATGATGTGGAGTGACCGCTTCAAAATCTTCAAAGAAACTGTGCATTTTTTTCTCATCGCCTCTGAAAGTTTGCAAAGTGTTTAGAACGTAGGACATCGTAGGACCATGTCTGAACGGACCGCTTCCGGATCCGGGAATTACACCTGCAGCTTCAGCCATTTTTGGTAAATGATGTAAATGGTCACCCGGAGGAACCAGAACAGACCTTGGTTGAGAAGACTCGCACGTTGCAGATAGCTCGTTCAGCTGTGACTGCCTGGACCAAAACAGCGCGAACATCGTTACAACCCCGAAGAAAGGGTTCTTGCAAATGTGCCACGGTGTCCGGATGTGTCCAGCATGCCCAAGCCTTTTCCCATCCTTGTTCGAATTGTGCGGTCTCCAAGCTCTGCTGGACATGCGTTTGCTGCAAACTCTTTAAACGGAGCAGCTCCCGCTTTGATTTCTGTACATTTATGAGCCTTGCAATAGTCTATTGTCCCATCTATCGGACTTCTGCCGAGCTAATACCAGGCTACGTGTGAAACTCTCCACTGTTTCAGCCTTGTGCTGATGGCTGTGGAAGATCCGCATAGGAAGTGCCCGTGAACTGGAGCAAGACGGGCAACACGAAGCATATGTAAACGCTGCCCAACAGAATTGCTGTGACATTCAAACATAAGCCGAAGGAAACCATTTGGCCAATAGGGACCCTGCCACTTGAATAGACCACCATATTTGGGCCGCCAGCCATAGGCAGCATGAAGGCGAAAGATGCAGCAAAGGACACTGCGAGCAGCAGCTGTACTTGATTGTAACCCATATGATGGGCAGCTGTTACGATGATGGCACCGAAAATGTTCAGGGTCGACATGTTTGACACAATCTCTGTGACGAATGCAACCACTGTCAAGACCAAAACGATAAATAAAAAGTCACTGAGACCCAGTGTCTGCAGACTTTGAGCGATGAGATCGGCCAAGCCAGATGCAACTGTACCGTGAGCAATGAGAGATCCACCTCCGAAGACAAAGAGAATCTCCCAACTGAAGTCCTGTTTTACACTCTCCCAGTCTAGGATGTAGCTTGGTCGCTGACCCTTGCAAATAGACAAGCAGCGATCTTCCCCCAGACAACATCTCAACCAAGAAGGTAGCCATCGACCACATGGCAGCACAAAGAGTGGAAGGGTCAGCAGCAGTCCAATCGAACCGCTGTTCAGCTGTGTAAGCCCTAGCCAGTGCTTCCAGCCCGGAAATTGATCAATTCGAGAGGCTGTGAACCACAGCAACATTAGGCAACACAAATCAACCAGTACTACCATTTCTTCAAAGGATACCTTCCCCATGCGCTGACGCTGAAGAAAGGCAGCAGCATCTATCACGACCTTTTCTGAGCTCGTCCAAACAAAGGTTGCACAGGCAATCAGATAGGCAGCCAAGAGCAAAGCTGCAGATAAAGGCAGTGCAATAACGCAAAAGGTTGCAAAGGAGAATTCTTGCTGTTCTGGCCAAAAATCCTGGAAGAGCGTCATGAAAATCCCATTGGTTGGAGTTCCAACAGGCGTTGCCAGTCCACCAATGGTGGCAGAGTAGCCAATGGCCAAGAGCATGCCACTCTGAAAGCGCGAATGCCTGTCGTCGATTGACTCCTGGAAGCTCTTGACCATGGGCAAAATACACAGCATCGCTGCAGTGTTGGAGATCCACATGCTCAAAAGCCATGTGCAAAGCATGAACGCAGCCATGTAGAGTTCCACTCTGCCACCCACTTTGGACAGCATGACATGCACAAAACGTGTGTGCAAATTCCATCGCTCAATTGCGAGGCCTAGAAAAAAACCAGCGATGAAGAGAAAGGATACTCCGCTGAAGAAGTGCCCTGCAAGGGAAGAGGCTTTGACAATCCCAAAGAGCGGATACAAGGCCATGGGCAACAAGCTGGAGACTGAAAGCGGCATCACTTCTGTCACCCAAAACAAAGCTGTGACAAGCAGAACTGATAATCCTTTGGATGCATCAGGATACCTGGGGTCCAGCTCCAGAAATGGAAACAGAATGAGAATCAGCGTAGCTGTGGCCAAAACTATTATAACTTTTCGGCCACCAGGTAGCTGGTCGGGTGCCTTTGACTCAGCTTCATCTTTTGCGTCATCTTTGCTTTCTAAATCAAATGGGCTTGCCCCAATGGAAGTCAGATCTTCACGTGGGTCCCGTTTGAAAACCATTGGCGCAAGACGGCCAGTCTACCAAATCTCTATAGCAACTCTTGAGCCCAATCAGAGATGCTCAAAACTAATGCAGTGCATTAAACATGCTGATTCTGTACAAAAGACTTTGCAAATATTACAGTACTGACAAGGTCACGATCTGTCTGTGTGCGTCTGTAATTTCAACACAGGTGTGCCAAGCAGCAGTTTGCTTCCAGTCTACATTTGGCACGGTACAACATGTGCGCAGTCGAAGGCACCTTGCTGTCGGCTCACTCATGGAGAAGCTGTCACCTTGGGCCCAGGAATGAATACAGTAACAATGACAGCTTGGGTGTCAAGTGCCAAAGATGATGACATGGCGTTGCAAGCTTTGTAAGCTCAAGTCATACATTGACTCCAACGTTCAATTCGGATGTCAAGAAAGTCTCAGAGATGAGCTGTGAGAGAGGCGCCCTCTCGGAGTCCATACTTTGCCAGACTCCCTTGCAACCTCAGCAGGAAAGTCTACATGGTGTGATAGGTGGGTTTAACATCCTCAGTGGACATCCGTGGGTTTGACCGAGGATATCGAGGTGACTTTGGTCCCAAACAATGGTTCCGTCCAAGCTTTGAGGCCTTACAATCGTCAACTGCCAAACGGCAAGCTTGATTCACTTGATGGGCTTTCTGCATAAGATGACTGCATGATGAGATATGAAGACTGTCTGATGTGTGAGATCCAAACCAGGACGTCATGAAGATCACTGAGATATGATGTATTGGGATTACAGTCATTGGTCCCAGCCTGCTCATGCGAAAACTCGGGAGAAGCGCTGAGGCAAACACATCATGCAGTCCAGGTTGGAAACGCTGACATGACTGGGCCTGGAAGCCTCCCCAAATTGGCAAAACCCCAATCGAAACGGAAGCCATGGAGGAAATGGATGGAAATGGATGGAAAATCCGGAAAGACAAAAGTGCAGAGAGGGTCAATCCGCTGGCCTCGAAACCAAGGGGACGAACCAGCAACAACTACGAACAACTAGGGATCAAAGATCAGAACAAGTCCTGACATCTGTAGACCACCTTTGCTTAACTGGAACAAGTGGAATAGGTTGGCTGTCTGAGAGCTGTTGCATTTTGACCAATCTCAAGTCCCTTCCAAACAATCCATTGAGATTCTTATGTGTCTAAACTTTGCTACAGTGGCGGCATCTCTGAATGAAGCCAACACTTTCCATGCGAATGGAAGGGATCAATTATGAAACATTATGTCAATTATATAACTATCACCAAATGGCTCATGTTCAGCATGTTACACTGACTCTCCCCAGCGAGAGTCCTGCGCTTGATTTGAGCCACAGCTTAAGCTCGTACCATGCTGTGCTGACAACACTGAGCTACGTGTGCTTGTCATTGTTCGTTCCATACATTGGAAACTCATGGAAAACAAGAAAAACGGCAAGACAACTCCTACTAGTACCTCTAGGGTCTACAATCAAGTGCCTTTATCTCTGGTTCCAAATCTACTGAAATATATTGAAACCACAGGCGCAAATACCACTGCCCGTAAGGGTCTGACTGTGTGTCGGTGTGGTCAGTGTGCGCCTGTGGCACATCCCGAGATTCCAACGGAGCATTTGCCGCCTGGGATCGCTGGCGTTGGAGATAGAAGCGTCGAGCCACTAGCTGCTAAGCATGATATTTGATGATATTTGATGATATTTGATGTTTGATGATAGTTAATGAGATCTGATGATTTGATGATAGTTGGAGAGCTACAGAATGTGCTTCAAAGATCTTCAGAGCATCTTCAAGTTCACTGCTAGGACATCGAAGTGCAGAACTTGCCTGACTCTTCCTGCGGCAAGCCTCGACATTGCCCCCATTGACACAACATCCACCAAGCCAGCCCTGCCAAAGAATGAGTGACGAATGTTGACCGCCTTGACGACATCCAGAAGCTCCAAAATGCTGCGCTCAACCTCCGCAGTCTGACCAAATTCGTGAAGCTGATGGACAAAAAAAAGGACACCGAGATTTAATTCGTGCACTTCGTGCACTTCGTGCCTCATCATTCAAAGCAGCTGTCTCTGCCTCGGAATCGCAGCAGAAAATGGATTGTTCACCTGGACGCATCCCTGACCTCTCCAAGCAGCCTGCCTTGTCAAACTCGGCAGCATCTATGTGCTTGCCGTCTTCGTCTTGGCTGAAATACTTCTGGCAGGCTGAACTGAAAGCTGCATCACAGCTGACTCTACCAAAAGTAACACACCTTGATTTGAGCCACCGATGATCCGTTCATTTCGTAACAACTTGGACCCGGACTGCGTGGGCCGAGATGGTCAATCTGCTCCAGCGACTTGCTCTTATCCTAAGCGTTGGGTTTGCAAACTTCTGGCTGCAGTGAAAATTATCGCATAGGGGTTAGGAATGGTTAGGAAGCTATGGTATGCTCCAACGTTATCGCATCAGCAGATATCAGCAGTACATCAAAGCAATGAAAGGTGTCACGGGGCTCGCACCTCTTTCCTGCGCACCACAGGGTCACCCATCTGCTGCGCTGGAACAGTCGAGCGCCCCTCAGCGCAAGAACTTGACTTTTCCAACTGAGCTTGTGAGGACTTGAGCATTTGAGCTTCCAACAAAGCTGGCAACGCCATCTGCCTAAGTCAAGTGCCACAAGACGAAGCCAAGAGGTGACTTGAACTGCAAAGGAGTTGCCTTGGACATGTCCAAACTCCAGATGCAAAAGCTTGGCTGCTCGCAACGCTAGGTGAATTCAGTGCTGTCGACTCGGATGCCTGGAAGCATTTTAAGGTTTTGTTTCAGGGCGGAGTCTGCAACCCTTTCAACAAAAGTTTTTTCATGTCATGAAAAAGATGTGAATATATGAATATTATAAATTTGATTAAATTTGTATCCAAACTTCCAAACTTTCCTGTGCAGGCCTCCTGCTCGCTCTGCCACGACCGAGCAGAAAAAGACTGGTCTGGGTCTCAGCACATATTTCAGCTCATATTGACAACATTTGACAACATTGTGTTATCTGTAGATCATGGTTTGCACGATTGACCTCTTAAGTTTTTGCAACTGACCCTTCAAGCTTGCATAATTGGCAGTGTGTCAAAACCTTGTACCCCTGGTGAACATCAAAATAGCTGGTAAATGGATGTTCATCCCACTAAAAATGGTATTAGTAGGTATTGATCCATAGCCAATTGACACCTCAATAGTGCGCAATTTCACCAAGCTCCCCACCGGCAGAGTGAGCAGAAGGAGGTCCCGTGCTTAGCACCGCTGGCCCCAGAGGCCAAGTCTCCACGGAAGCCTTCGGTCCGACCAGGGCGTTTGGTTGTTACACCTATGTGGTGTCCAAAACCATCCAAAACACCATAGAACATCGCTACATGCAAGACGTATTCTAGTATTTCTCAAAATGGCTCAAAATGATCCACCCAAAAGCATTCACTGAAGAATATATGATAAAATATGATAAAATACAAAAAGAGCATCTAAGAGCGAGATATGGCCTATGGGTCCATTATGGTCCAGCCAGGTACCCCAACTTTGATCCAAATTATGATTGGGCCAAGCCTCAGAGACACTTCCGGTCTCAGAAGGGTCCTCCTCCATAGCTTCCGAGTGTCATCGAGGTCTCCCCAAAATGGTGATGAACAAATGATTTATCCAAAGCAAGGGTTGTTTGCCATAACCAGTATATACATGTATATACCATGATAATCCATTATAGATTTCAGACTTATTACAGATCTTTATAGAGCACTTCCAATTTGTTTCCAGGCTTCTTGGAATTGCTTGTGCCTGCTTTTCAAGGTTCCCTGAGTTCAATTGCAGCAAATAATTCCATCCCCACGCTGTGGCATTCGCATTCTATCCTCCGTTGAAAGGAGATGACAGGTTCATGTTTAGAAAATGTTGGAAATTTTGAAAGAAACTACAGTAAATGAAAACAATGTCGACCTCAATATACCTCAATACTCCAAAATCTGTGGCCACTTATCAACTGCGAAGTCCATGGAAAAATGTTGAACCTTCGAAGGTTGCTGTACAAAAGATACTTGGCTTCTGAAGCTGTAAAAGCTGCAGATTCATCACACATCAAGAAACATTTAGCTGAGAGAAGATCCTGTCGTGGATCTCCAAAGTTCACTCCTGTCTGAATTCATATTGTTTTCAGCGTGACCTACGTGTTTCGCACTGACCATGTATGTCACGGGAGAATTGGCAAGTACCGTATTATTTTCTTCCGCATTGCAGGCAGGATTTCTGTACAAACGAATTCACTGAATTTGGACATCTGCGAGGAATGCGCTTCCAAAGGTCTGCTCAACCGTTTGGGATGCCCAGACTTCACGAATTGATGCAATTTGCAAAGGCTTCATCTCACTCTGCAGGAACCTTGGAAGATTGAGGGTGTTCCTATTTCAAGTGAGCAGTGTTCAAAACCATCAACATCCCTCAGCCCCTCAGCCTCATTTCAGATCATGGATGATAACAACCCCAATCTATTGGATAGTATAACCGTATAACCCAATGTATTCCCCTGCAATCATCGAGCAACAGGGGGGTTGAAAACGCCGTCACAAACAACATAGCTGAGCGCCCATGCCTTGCGAGTCTCTTTGCCTCGAACCATCCTTCGTGTGGCCAAAACTGCATTTCGTCGCTGAAGAGAGTCATCCAATTCAATTTGATTGACACTTGGGTACTGAACAGGAAATCTGGGACGGCAAACAGCGTACTCCTTGAAGTGCTTCAGCATCTCGAAGACACTTCCACATTGCAATGATCTTGGATCTGCTGGCTGCCTTAGCAAAAATTGGATGTCATGAGGTGCAACCTGAAAGAAGAACAATCTCAGCATATCCCAATGATGGCTTTGGAACAAACACTGCATGGTTTTAAAAAAATCGCCAAAATGGTCTTGCGCGGGGTGAGCCGCAAGCAAATCCCATATCTAGAAATAGAATCCTATCGCATTTTCGGCAAAACCTTGACCCTAAGCGACAACCCAAAATCCATTCGAAATAGTCAGCCCCCAGGCGGTGC